TATATATATATATATATATATATATATATATATATATATATATATATATATATATATATATATTACTTGAGGTATCTCTCAGTCCATATACTTGTATATCTCTTAATTTATGTGTGTGTGTGTACTCACCTAGTTGAGGTTGCAAGGGTCGAGTCCTAGCTCCTGGCCCCACCTCTTCACTGGTGCGTGTGTGTGTGTGTGTGTGTGTGTGTGTGTGTGTGTGTGTGTGTGTGTGTGTGTGTGTGTGTGTGTGTGTGTTGAAAATGTACTTTAATCCATATTTTAGGGATTAAAATTTCCTCGAAGGTAATGTACAGATGAGTTAATATCTTAACCTGAAATGTCCTGCATAACCCTTGGCTTTCAAGCAAATGTATAGTCCACGCCACTTACATGTTTTTATCTATTGTAGGCCTTTTTAACATTTATATTTTCACGTGCAATCAACACTAAGCTTAACAAGCTGACTAACTTACTGGGTCTTCCTGTGACAGACGACACCGCAGAGTTCAAGATTTTTATAGTTACAAATATACGTAACAATCGACAGGCAGTGTGCAATTATTCCCAGCCTCTGTTGGACTGCATCAAGACCAACACCAACATGGTAAGTCTACTCTGCGGGAAGCAATGATACGGGTATAGGAAAAGTTTTTACTGAGATAACATGCCGTTCTGTGTAGACCTTTATCATGATTTGATAAAGCTCTACACAGAGCGAAACTTTCTCGCATTAAATCTTGTTCTACAACCTTTTTTTTTTTTCTTGCCAGCAATTTACTATTGCATTCCACTATGTATATTCATTTACCTAATTGGGTAGAGTTGGGTTGTAGTTCTTGGGCCCTGCCTCTGTACTTGCCTCTTGTTTTTTGTACTCATATATAGTTTAAAATCCGCGTATTAAGTTTGTATCTGCAATATCCCTTAATTATGCATTTTTTTGTTCACTTCTCACACTGAAGGCATTCTTTCCCGTGTGTGTGTGTGTGTACTCACGTAATTGCGATTGCAGGTGTTGAGTCTTAGCTCTTGGCCCTGCCTCTTCACTGGTCACTACTAGGTGTGTGTGTGAGGATGCGTGTGCGTGTGGAGTGTGAAGGGGAAGGTGTGAAATTCGGGTAAAAGTTAGTGGGATAGTTGGTAAATAACTGGAAAACAAAACCCGAATTAACATCCTGGCCATCAAAACTAAGAATTTTGTTTCAGTCTCAATACAGGACTAAACTTCTGATTATTTTCCTGAGTCCATAATAATTTAACAAGGCTTGTTATATTGTTTTTCTATTTACAGACTCAGTTGATCAAGGACTGTCTCAAAAAGAATGGCGTTCTCTAGATAAGAACGCTACTGTAACTTGAAGAACGCCACTGTAACTTGAAGAACGCCACTGTAACTTGAAGAACGCCACTGTAACTTGAAGAACGCCACTGTAACTTGAAGAACGCCACTGTAACTTGAAGAACGCCACTGTAACTTGAAGAACGCCACTGTAACTTGAAGAACGCCACTGTAACTTGAAGAACGCCACTGTAACTGAAGAACGCCACTGTAACTTGAAGAACGCCACTGTAACTTGAAGAACGCCACTGTAACTTGAAGAACGCCACTGTAACTTGAAGAACGCCACTGTAACTTGAAGAACGCCACTGTAACGTGAAGAACGCCACTGTAACTTGAAGAACGCCACTGTAACTTGAAGAACGCCACTGTAACTTGAAGAACGCCACTGTAACTTGAAGAACGCCACTGTAACTTGAAGAACGCCACTGTAACTTGAAGAACGCCACTGTAACTTGAAGAACGCCACTGTAACTTGAAGAACGCCACTGTAACTTGAAGAACGCCACTGTAACTTGAAGAACGCCACTGTAACTTGAAGAACGCCACTGTAACTTGAAGAACGCCACTGAAACCTCAGAAGATCCATATGGAAGAATTTCTTGTCGTCCGTCCTTGGATAGTTACTTCGCTGTTATTGAGGAATCTGTCTAAGGACTTGAAAATTCCTAAGGATTTCTTGAAATCTCTTAAGAAATACCCTCAGACAATCAGTCGTTCTGTCTGGTTACCACAGCTGCTGCTTCTTTCGGAGTTAGAAAATTAAAATAAATCTCTTCATCACCGAAGTACAAAAGAAACCATACCACGGGCGGGAATAGAACCCGCGATCAGAGAGTCTCAAAACTCCAGACCGTCCAGACTCACTACATTACGACTTCGTGAGTCAAGTACAAAAGTATTGTAACGCCTGTCCATGATATATAGACAAAGCACCATGACAAGCACAATAAAACCATCTAAACCCCAAGCTGAACCAGGCTTGCAATTACACTCAAAAATATGTTTCTTATAATATTATCTTTATTTCTACAAGTACATGTACAAGGTATACAGACCATAGCTGACATCAATAACATACTACCATATAGAAAGCCGCTTCTTATGTTGAGCATTTCGGGCAAATTAGGTCAGTTTTGTCCCAGGATGCGACCCACACCAGTCGACTAACACCCAAGTACCCATTTTTAAACTGATGGGTGAACTTGGACAGTAGGTGTCTTAAGGAAACACGTCCTTAATGTTTTCCAGCCGTACCGGAGATTCGAACTCCGGACCTCAGTGTGTGAGCTGAGTTCACTAGTGATCGAACTACTCGACACCTGAATATTATTATATCAATATAGTTCTGCATCAACATAGTATGGGAATGGTATATCAGAAGTTAGAGCAGCCAAAATATAAGCAGCATCAATAAGATTAGCACCAGGACCAGCAATACCAGCAGCAATAACAACATGGAGGAATATAGCAAATAATATTGTTGCAGTAATAACACCAGGAGGCAGCTCTGATGAAAACTCACACTCACGCGAGCTTTTAAATCTCTGCACAAAATTCAATTTAAACCAGCAAATAATAGAGCCTACTAGACTGGAGAATACACTAGACCTCATCTTCACTAACAATGATGATCTGATAAGAAATATCACCATATCAAAAACAATATACTCAGATCACAACATAATTGAGGTTCAGACATGTATGCGTGGAGCCCCAGACCGCCATAATGAGATTAGTCACGAGGGAGCATTCACCAAATTCAACTTCAATAACAAAAACATAAAGTGGGACCAAGTAAACCAAGTCCTAACCGATATAAGCTGGGAAGATATACTAAGCAACACAGACCCCAACTTATGCCTAGAACAGATTAACTCGGTGGCACTCGATGTATGCACAAGGCTTATTCCTCTAAGAAAAAGGAGGAGTAGATGTAAAACAGAAAGAGACAGGCGCTCCCTTTACAGGCGACGGAAAAGAATAACAGAGCGGCTAAAAGAGGTCAATATATCTGAAATGCGTAGGGAGACACTGGTCAGAGAAATAGCAAGCATCGAACTTAAGCTAAAAGAATCCTTTAGGAGTCAGGAATCGCGGGAAGAACTAAAAGCCATAAATGAAATCGAAAGAAACCCAAAATATTTCTTCTCCTATGCCAAATCAAAATCGAGAACAACGTCCAGTATTGGGCCCCTACTTAAACAAGATGGGTCCTACACAGATGACAGCAAGGAAATGAGTGAGCTACTCAAGTCCCAATATGACTCAGTTTTTAGCAAGCCGCTAACCAGACTGAGAGTCGAAGATCAAAATGAATTTTTTATGAGAGAGCCACAAAATTTGATTAACACAAGCCTATCCGATGTTATCCTGACGCCAAATGACTTCGAACAGGCGATAAATGACATGCCCATGCACTCTGCCCCAGGGCCAGACTCATGGAACTCTGTGTTCATCAAGAACTGCAAGAAGCCCCTATCACGAGCCTTTTCCATCCTATGGAGAGGGAGCATGGACACGGGGGTCGTCCCACAGTTACTAAAAACAACAGACATAGCCCCACTCCACAAAGGGGGCAGTAAAGCAACAGCAAAGAACTACAGACCAATAGCACTAACATCCCATATCATAAAAATCTTTGAAAGGGTCCTAAGAAGCAAGATCACCACGCATCTAGAAACCCATCAGTTACACAACCCAGGGCAACATGGGTTTAGAACAGGTCGCTCCTGTCTGTCTCAACTATTGGACCACTACGACAAGGTCCTAAATGCACTAGAAGACAAAAAGAATGCAGATGTAATATATACAGACTTTGCAAAAGCCTTCGACAAGTGTGACCATGGCGTAATAGCGCACAAAATGCGTGCTAAAGGAATAACAGGAAAAGTCGGTCGATGGATCTATAATTTCCTCACTAACAGAACACAGAGAGTAGTCGTCAACAGAGTAAAGTCCGAGGCAGCTACGGTGAAAAGCTCTGTTCCACAAGGCACAGTACTCGCTCCCATCTTGTTCCTCATCCTTATATCCGACATAGACAAGGATGTCAGCCACAGCACCGTGTCTTCCTTTGCAGATGACACCCGAATCTGCATGACAGTGTCTTCCATTGCAGACACTGCAAAGCTCCAGGCAGACATCAACCAAATCTTTCAGTGGGCTGCAGAAAACAATATGAAGTTCAACGATGAGAAATTTCAATTACTCAGATATGGTAAACATGAGGAAATTAAATCTTCATCAGAGTACAAAACAAATTCTGGCCACAAAATAGAGCGAAACACCAACGTCAAAGACCTGGGAGTGATCATCTCGGAGGATCTCACCTTCAAGGACCATAACATTGTATCAATCGCATCTGCTAGAAAAATGACAGGATGGATAATGAGAACCTTCAAAACTAGGGAGGCCAAGCCCATGATGACACTCTTCAGGTCACTTGTTCTATCTAGGCTGGAATATTGCTGCACACTAACAGCACCTTTCAAGGCAGGTGAAATTGCCGACCTAGAAAATGTACAGAGAACTTTCACGGCGCGCATAACGGAGATAAAACACCTCAATTATTGGGAGCGCTTGAGGTTCCTAAACCTGTATTCCCTGGAACGCAGGAGGGAAAGATACATGATTATATACACCTGGAAAATCCTAGAGGGACTAGTACCGAACTTGCACACGAAAATCACTCACTACGAAAGCAAAAGACTTGGCAGACGATGCACCATCCCCCCAATGAAAAGCAGGGGTGTCACTAGCACGTTAAGAGACCATACAATAAGTGTCAGGGGCCCGAGACTGTTCAACTGCCTCCCAGCACACATAAGGGGGATTACCAACAGACCCCTGGCAGTCTTCAAGCTGGCACTGGACAAGCACCTAAAGTCAGTTCCGGATCAGCCGGGCTGTGGCTCGTACGTTGGTTTGCGTGCAGCCAGCAGCAACAGCCTGGTTGATCAGGCTCTGATCCACCAGGAGGCCTGGTCTCAGACCGGGCCGCGGGGGCGTTGACCCCCGGAACTCTCTCCAGGTAAACTCCAGGTATACAAATTATGTCAAGAACTGGAGCTGTGCTATAAGCATCAATCTGCCACTACATTTATCAAACCTACAAAATAAAACCTAACATCAGATTGCTCAATATTCTGATCAAAAACAACTGTTTTTATTATTCATCATGCTGAAATGTATATTTTATATAGTAATTAATATGTAGCACAGCTACCTTAATTTTTTGCTGAGTAAACTAATTAGTACATTTGTGTTTTAATTCTCGTATTCTATGTTTTTTTTTTAATAACTGCCTCCCAGCATACATCAGGGGGATTACCAATAAACCCTTGGCTGTCTTCAAGCAGGCACTGGACAGGCACCTAAAGTCAGTACCTGACCAGCCGGGTTGTGGTTCGTACGTTGGATTACGTGCGGCCAGCAGTAACAGCCTGGTTAATCAGGCCCTGATCCACCATGAGGCCTGGTCACAGACCGGGCCGCGGGGGCGTTGACCCCCGAACTCTCCCCAGGTATATGTAATGACAACACTGAGATGTGTTAAAACATTGAGTGTGATGTCATATTAAGCTTAATTGGCTGGTTTATTAGGTTTGAAGCCTATCCACCACAGTATACTACTGGTGGTATACAAGTAACTTGAATGTTACCTGTATACCACCAGTCAAGTACGCTTTAATCCTTAAATCACGGTTTAAATAAACCAAGCGTATGTATTAATACTGAGATATGCGCCCCTCCAATCAGTCAATATTTATTTCCACGTAATACAACAACATTTGTACAAAGTTGGATGACTACATTAATCACGTGGGAAGGCCCTAAGTTATGCAAAGCATAAATAACTAAGCCGATGGTGTCCGTCTCATGCTGAGATGGTATACTTCCAGCTGTGGTGTTCCGTTTATCACTGCGCGGGCTCTGAAGTGCGGTGATGCGCACATTCCTGCTCAATATGAAGGGGTTCGACTCTCCAGACCGTCAGGAGATTCTGGCCTGCACTTTCGCTCTCTTTCTGGTCTCAGGGCGCATTTGGGTACATATAATGTGTGCCGCCATTAGTTAGTTTCCTTGCAATTAGGTGGAAACTTTCTTTTCCGGACACTGGCAGACGGTCATTAATATATTTGGTTTCCGTGTGATAGGTGGAGACAGGCTTGTCTAATCAACTTCAAAATTTCAACTTTTGTGTATCCCACTTAGAAGAAGGTTGCTATATTTAATGGAGTATGTCTATGCCATTTCATCGCTATTTTTTTACAATATTAGACAGGGCTTGATACAGCGTAAGCTGTCAGTGGCCCTATAAACTTCTTTCCAATATTCCTTCAGATTGGCGTAATATATTCTTCCGGTACCCCCGGGAAGGACAGTTCAATACGCTGGAAGCTATGATGGTTCCTAGCAACCCTCCAGCACGAGTGCTGGAGGGTTGGAGACGTGTTGCCATACCTGGATTTGAGTATCAGATCTATTTTTTTTCCTTTCTTTCCCCGTGACATTTGCTGGGAGATTGGTATGAGGCGCATTACGTCAGCTCGTAGAAGAGAGGAGCTTACGACGACGTTTCGGTCCGACTTGGCCCATTTACTTTGTAAATGTGACTTTGTAAATGAAGATTGAGACACTTTCAAACCATTCATCACACTTTGTAAATTGTCTAAGTCGGACCGAAACGTCGTCGTAAGCTCCTCTCTTCTATGGTTATTTATGTATCGTTCCAGTCACGGTATAGCCCGTAATGCTATGCATAGTATAAGTGGCTTTGGCATGCTGCTCTTATCTGTATTTTTTGTACCTCTGTATGTGTGCTCAAATTTTTAAATAAATAAATAAATAAATAAATAAGCTTTTTTTTCTATGCTGCGAATTTCTAAGGCCTAGAGGAAGCCAGTTGTCGTCTGGTTCTGCCAGGGTTCAGGCGTGTGTTGTCCACTTGACCTGTTGGGAATTGTTTGTTCCCGTTTCTACCCATAAAACAAACTTTTAATTCCCGTCCAGCTTTTGGCATTATTCCTTCCCCAGCAGAGCTGTATGTTCCTTGTGGCCTGGTGGCTAAAGCTCTCGCTTCACACACGGAGGGCCCGGTTTCGACACGTGTCCTTACACCTGTTGTTCTGTTCACCTAGCAGCAAATAGGTACCTGGGTGTTAGTCGACTGGCGTGGGTCGCATCCTGGGGGACAATATTAAGGACCCCAATGGAAATAAGTTAGACAGTCCTCGATGACGCACTAACTTTATCCTGGGTGGCTAACCCTCCGGGGTTAAAAATCCGAACGAAATCTTATCTTCGTTACTGGGAAGCAGGACTCAATACTGTGTAAGCTGTCGTGGCCCTCGAAACTTTTAACAACAATATGGAAGTGTGAGTAAATATATTTTTTCTCATTTTAATCGGGGAAGCGATAAACCCACAAGGGTCATATAGCAGCTGTGGAATGGGAGGCATTCAGGTTCGATTCAAGGAAGGGAGAGTTAGTCTATTTCCTTGGATCAAGAGCCCCACCGGAATTAAGGATGTTTGAGTAGTATGTATGTATGATAATTTGTCACTATTTATGTGTACGTAAACTTATTAAGTTTATTTAGGTACAAGTACACAAGAACGATTACCGTACTTGATGTAAATTATCTAGGATAACAAAAAGTCAAAGTGACTTATTTCCAACGAGGTCCTTATAATATCTTATTGAAACCATTAAAGTTAAAACAGCTAATTAATTAAACTGTAATAATAATTTTTTTAACAAACTGCTGAAAAAACTTTAAGCAAAATACCCTTGAGGCCGGTGAAGAGTCTTGACCTAAAGAATTATATTGCTCTCCATTCATTTGGACTAAATGTGATTACCTTCCATTGCTCCCAGGCACTATATGACCCCAGTGGGTTTAGCACTCCCCATAAATCAAGGAAGGTACCTTGATACCTGTGAGGGTTTCTTCATTGAGGTGTCCCGTAGCTCGATCGCTAGCACACACAACTCACACATTGAGGTCCGGGGTTCGAATCTCCTCCGGTACGGCTGGAAAACATTAGGAACATCTTTCCATAAGACACCTGCTGACCCTGTCCCTGTTCACCCATCAGTTTAAAATGGGTACCTGGGTGTTAGTCGGCTGGTGTGGGTCGCATCCTGGGACAAAACAGACCTAATTTGCCTGAAATGCTCAGCATAACAAGCAGTTTTCTATATAGTAGTATGTCACTGATGTCAGCTAGGCCTGTATACCATGTATACATGTACTTGTACTAAATAAAGATATGTATTATTATTATTATTATTATTATTATTATTATTACCCAAGGAACTGGACTTATCTTCCCCTTGGAGCTAACCAGATTGCCTTCCCATGAAACCCCTACAGGTTTAGCACTTTTCACTGATTAAAATAAAAAAAATATAGCACTTGTGAGTGTAGAGCTTTCCCTTGAAGTCAAATTTAAGCAAAAGAACAACACTGGCAGTCCCTGTGTAATACACTACAGTATTTGGAGAACAAAGATTAAAGAACAAAAGGCACAATACCATCACTGGAACAACACACAAATAACCCGCACATAGGAGAAAGAAACTTATGACAACGTTTCAGTCTGACTTGGAATATTAGGCTGACTTTGTTGGGTTACAACACTTGGGTTGAAAACAGTAAATGTTTAAAAGACACTATTCATCATAAAGTTACAAATAAAGATAATGGATCAGGTCAGCAAACAAAAGGAGACAGCAGAGGGCAGTGAGAGACTATTTCCCTTAAAGTTTACTATACTAATAGCAGGAGTGTAAGAAATAAGATAGGTGAGCTAAGATTAATTGCAAGTGCAGAAAGCATAGATATTATTGCTATAACAGAGACCTGGCTCAATCTGAAAGCTAGAGAAATGCTTTCTGAATGCCACATACAAGGCTATAAATTATTCCACACTGATAGGGTCAACAGGAAGGGTGGAGTAGCAATGTACGTCAGAGATAATTTAAATTGTTGTATTAGACAAGATATAAAATTAGAAGCATCAGCCACTAAATCTGTTTGGTTACAGCTTCTCGAGGGCTGTGAAAAACTGATCCCATGTATCAGAAATCTTCTCTATGAGGATAGACTGAGGGCCCTGAATCTACAGTCTCTAGAAAGGCGTAGAATTAGAGGGGATATGATTGAGATGTATAAATGGAAAACAGGAATAAATAAGGGGAATGTAAATAGTGTGTTAAAAATATCTCGCCAAGACAGGACTCGCAGCAATGATTTTAAGTTGGAAAAATTCAGATTCAGGAAAGATATAGGAAAGCACTGGTTTGGTAATAGAGTTGAGGATGAGTGGAACAAACTCCCGAGTACCGTCATAGAAGCTAAAACATTGTGTAGTTTTAAAAATAGGTTAGATAAATACATGGAAAGCGTATAAATCTATAGGGGAAGGAAGGCGGGGTAGGGGTCGTCCTCGAAAAGGTTGGAGGGAGGGGGTAAAGGAGGTTTTGTGGGCGATGGGCTTGGATTTCCAGCAAGTGTGTATGAGCGTACTAGCTAGGAGTGAATGGAGACGAATGGTACTTGGGACCTGACGAGCTGTTAGAGTGTGAGCAGGGTAATATTTAGTGAAGGGATTCAGGGAAACCGGTTATTTTTATATAGTTGGACTTGAGTCCTGGAAATGGGAAGTATAATGCCTGCACTTTAAAAGAGGGGTTTGGGATATTGGCAGTTTGGAGGGATATGTTGTGTAACTGTTGTATTCTGAGCACCTCTGCAAAAACAGTGATTACGTGTGAGTGTGGTGAAAGTGTTGAATGATGAAAGTATTTTCTTTCTGGGGATTTTCTTTCTTTTTGGGTCACCCTGCCTCGATGGGAGACGGCCGACTTGTTAAAAAAAAAAAATACATGAGTGGGTGTGGGTGAGCGAGTCAGACCTGACTAGCTTGCACTACTAGGTCTGATGTCGTGCTCCTTCCTTAAGTGAATGTGACCTGACCTGACTAGGTTGGGTCATTGGCCTAAGCCAGTAGGAGACTTGGACCTGCTTTGCATGGGCCAGTAGGCCTGTTGCAGTGTTCCTTCTTTCTTATGTTCTTATAATTTATGATATAAAACCATTGTATAAGTTTAAAATAATGTATGAGGCCTAAATAAAATCATACATACACCCCTTGTGGCTCATGGCTCAAGTGGTAGTGCCTTTGGGTCATATCTGCAGGACCTGGGTTCAGTTCCAGCAGACGAGCACAAGTGGAAATATTGGGCATATTTTGTTACACCTGCTGCCCCTGTTCACTTAGCAGTAAGTAGGTACCTGTGTGTTAACTATCTGTTGTGGGCTCCATCCTGAAGAAGAGGATCAAAGGACCCAAACAGAAATAAGCCAGATGGTGATTTCATTGGGTTAACCTTTTAATGCTCCTACATAGAAATACAAATGGTATTCATTTTATGCAGGAATCGCAAACAAAGATACATGATGCAAAACAACCACACTGAAAGTTGAATTTTAGGGGAGCTTGCCCATTTTCTCATTTTCCTTAAGATGTGGAATTTTCTGCAGACAGTTGCCAGACACATCCTTATTCAGAATGTTAAGTCCTTCATATTGCCCTGAAGTCAGATTGATAATTTTGATAACCATTATGTTACCAATATTACTTTGCTAGTTAACCACTCAAATGCCTTTGTTTGTGGGCTGACTATCTTCTATTTTTATAATACTGAAACTGTTTGGCACTCAGCACTCATGTGCCTGGGCACTGTATGCTTCCCGCCGCTCTTCTACCTTCAGTCTTAGCAAGCGTCCCTTGAAATGAAACTGCTGAGATTTCTTACTCATTTCTGCAACTTTGCATGCTCCTGATGATGTGTTGATTGCAACACAAAAGGCCTATAGCTGTTATTCGACTCCCCTGTGGTTGTTTTGCATAGAAATACAAAATAATCTTATTTATCCACGACAGATAGCAAATAAAATTACTCCACTGTGCTTTTAACTTCTTTATTTTCGGTGTTTATTACGGAATATCTGTAAATTGTGTGTGCAGTACTGTATAATGCATACAGTAGTGTGGCATAGTTTTTTTTATTTAACAGATGATTGCCATTGCTGGATGCCCTCTTCCCTCAGAGTCCATTAACCCTTTAACTGTGTTCCACATAGATCTACATCATTGAGGCTAGTCTCGCACATGTAAATCTATGTCATAATCATGGTGATCTCAAATATGCTGTTAGTATTATTATTATAATCAAAAAGAAGCACTAAACCAGAAGGGCTATACAGCTCAAATATGCTGTGATTGGTAAATTTTTGCCTAGACATGAGAGAAGGGGTGTGCACAGTATTAAAAAAATCTTGCCCCATACAGTTCATGATGAGAACATCTGACCTATGTTTGGGATAAAATAATGACTTTGAGACATTTTTTAAGGTGTTTTTTATGGTTTTGTTGGCTGTTTCTTGATATACAGTGGTACCTTGGGATACGAACTTAATTCGCTGTTCGAGTGCCAATACCAAATGAATTTGTTCCCATAAGATATAATGAAATTAGATTAATCTGTTTTAGGCCCCCAAAAATATACTTACAAAAGCACTTACATAAATACACTTACATAATTGTTTCAGTTTTGAGCTCTTTGTATCCTGAGGTACCACTGTAGTTGACAAACAGAAAAACACACAAGTGAAATGGAGATGAGTTGGTCAATTTAAGACCAGAAAATAGGCCTCAAAGTAGCAGAAACATTCAATTTTTAGCAATTTTACTGAGGAAGGGTAGGGGCCCTACAACCCCAGTCTGTTCAGCGGGTTTTTACTAGGTCTGCTTCAGTTATTAGGATGGCCTAAACCATGACCAATGATTCTTGGTTATATTTTATTAGCTAATAAATAGAATAAAACTTCAGTGATTAGTGTCATGGTAGATTCTAAATGAAGGGCAGGTACTATATAGTAGAGGTCTGGCAATGTGATTAATGAACAGAAGAAAAGTTGCTTCGGGGGCTGGAATGCCTATGGTATTCATTTGAGATTTTGATTATAAAATTAAATTTGTTGAATTTTTAGTAAAATTGGCCAATTTCCCAAGTTTTGGCAGTTTGTGGGGTAGTTCTAATATGTACGTAGTTGAATGGGCATTTTCTTGTCAGTTGATACAACAGAAATCATACTAACAAAATAGTCAGGAGCTGGGTCTGTTTGAGCAGTGGACTTGGCCTTAAAATGGATGAATCGCTGAGGCATAAATTGTGCCCAGACTGCCAACATTGTTCCTGCATAATTTCATGAATTTTTCCATCAAACTTTGCATTTCTGGTGATATTACCTTCTGAAAAGTATTCTCTCCCATTTCAGAAGATATAAGAAAAGTTTTTTAAATTGTGACACTGACAGCCATTTTAATTTTAGTGATTGGAGCAGTGAAAGGATTGCCGAATAAATTACCAAATTGATTAAAAAACTATCTTAATGAATTCAAACAAAAACTGAAAAAAATCCATGCTTAATTAGTCCGCTTTTCCTACACCACTCATTTTCCAGAAATATTTTTTAGCACAGTCACAAATTTTATCCACATCTCCTGCCATTATCACATCATTTGTTTGTATCAATTTTCTTCTTGTGACTTTGTTGGCAGCACTCTCAGCTCACATACTGAGTGTCTGTGGTCCAATCCCCGGCATGGATGTAAATGTTAGGCATGTTTCCTGTTCACCTAGTAGAAAGTAGGTGCCTGGCTGTTAGTTGACTGTTGTGGGTCATATCCCAGGTGGTGGTAATATACCCTAGATAGGGCTGGGTTTTGAAATGAGCTGAAGCAGGATAACAGCTCTTAGCCTGCAAAATTGATGTGAAAAAAATTTAATTCGTATTTTTTTTTCATTTTTATCATTCTAACTGTACCTTATGCTATACACAAAGGCTATAATAGCTCCACATCTATGTAATCTTTTTAGTATTAATTAGTAGTATTTTATTCGTGGGGAAGTGCTGAACCTGTAGGGGTCATTGAACACCCGGGGAATGGGAGATAATCAGGTTTGATCCAAGGTATATGAGAAGAACATCAATTTTATAGATTAACCCTTAAACTGTCCAAACGTAGATCTATGTTCACGTGCGTAGCGCTCCAACCTTTATTTTCCCCATTTGAAAGCATGTAAAAAAAAAGTAGATCTACGTTTGGAGCCCCTCGCATGTGAACATAGATCTACGTTTTGACAGTTTAAGGGTTAAGAGCCTTCTCCTGATCTATGTGTATACTACAGGCTTTTTAAAACTACTTGTGTAAAATGTTTTGAAAACAAAGAATTTATATTGGCTGTACTCTACTGTACTTCCAGTTGGATCACACCTCTGGGCTGTACTCTACTGTACTTCCAGTTGGATCACACCTCTGGGTATAAAATTTTCTATATGCCTAAAAAAAATTCTTCCCTATATGATAATAATGCTAAGCCTGTTTTAAGTTCTACAACATTCCTTCCCTATAAATAAAAGATCATTTTGCATGTGACATCCATTATGTTCAAAGTTTTTTATTTCTTATTTTTGCAGAGTGAATAGTAAAGGGGCAGTGTTGAGCAACTGTGAAGTATATTCATTGCTACAGGATTTATGTCAGCAAGGAGCCAAAGGAAGACGGAACCTTGCCAAAACTCAGACACACCTTGCCAATATTGCCTATGACGTATGCATTTTAAGTTTTCATTTGAACAAAATATTTTTAAAATTTGATTTTTTTTTTGATGAATTTTTTGCTATTTTGTGGGATAGTGATAGTGCACATTTATAAAATGGGAACTTAATTTAATTCACAACCACTAGTATGCAATATGAACCTGTGTGAGAAAAGTATCTTTTGTACTATCATTCTCTATGCAAACCTCTCAGTTAGACAAAAACAGAAGCAAAAATCACTTGCATGTTGTAGACTTGTATACTTTAAAAAATATACCTGTATTGTATATCAAAAAATCAGTTAAAAGTGTTATCACTACTATGGTACAGTCCCCATCTTATCTTCATTATTAATATTACAGTATATTCATTGGGAAGCACTAAACCCATAGGAGTCATAGAGTGCATTTGCCTTGTTAAATAAACTTCATTACACAGCTGTCTCAACACTCCACCTATCTTTTTTTTTTATCTATTCTATGGTTCCCTTTAATATACCCACTATCTGACACATTCAGTACATTCACTTCCTCCATGCCTCCTGCCTCTAATCTGATTGCTAAAATAATACATTCTTTGATTTGACAGACACTCAAGTATTTGGAGAAAACACCTTGTAGAAATCAGAATCCAGAAATAATCCAAAGATTTCTTCAGTCTGTAAAAGATTTCAAGCTCACTAAAGCTGAAAAGCTCCAGTTAATTAACTTGAGGCCAACAACACCAGTGGAGATGCAGTTGGTAAGGTCTGCTGTGCCAGTTTTACTATTATCATTGCACACCATTATTATACATACATGTTGAAAAAAAAATAATAATAATAATAATGAGTAATTATACGTATATATGAAGTGCTAAATCTGTGTGTGTTGTTCAGTGCATAGTGCAGTGGGGGCTCAACCCTCCATATGGTAGCCCCCAATACACATGCACTACCTGTTTGTACTTGCCTTATCAATGCATATAAATTTGGCATTGCTGATAATAACTGTTACACAGTTGCAGTTCATATTATATTCATGAAACCCATAGAGAACATAATGTGCCTGGGAAATGGGAGGTAATCAGGTTTGAGCCAAGGAAAGGGTAGCTCCAATTCATCAGCATTATGTAATTTGCAACATTTGTCAATAGATTTTGATGTGTACATATCCCATGTGTATAATTCAAGTGTTATATATGAATCTGAAGCATGATAGTAAGCCAAGAAATGTATAAGATAATAAACATATACAGCATATAGAATCATTTAAATGCTGATTAATACAGCATGTTTTTAAGCTAAAGCAGGTTATGCATACAAGTTAATGCTTCACCAAGCAATTGGTGGTCAGTGGTCAGTCGACAGTGGTCAGTGGTCAGTCGTCACGTGAGGTCACAGACCCTGAGCTGCTTTGGGGATTAGCGTGGACGGTTACAAAGCATGGCTTGCTTCTGCAGTGTTTTAAAAATTGAGGTTGGAGAGTTGAAGGAGGAGGTCTTGCTTCTCCAGGAGGAGATTAGGAGGCTGAAGGTCCACCTCAATGGGTCTGGGAGAGTGTGAGGTGGCTGGAGTTGTGGGGAATGAGACTTCTAGCAGTGAGGTGCAGTCTGTCTCTCGCTGTGAGGAGGCTGTAGTTGGGGAGGTAGCAACGGCTACCAGCAGTGAGGTGCAGCCCAGCACCTGCTACAAGTGGCGAGTGGTTCACAGTAATGGGAGGCGCATCAGAGTAAGGAAAGTTAAGAGTTAAGATCTGAAGGTAGGAAATCACTTCTCTGTTCTCCAGGATGAATGTACTTCAGTGGCCAGTGAAGGTAAGGGTACTACTGCCCCTGCTAATGGAGGTAAGCGCATTTTTGTGGTTGGTGACTCTCAGGTAAGATATATTGACCGTGCTTTTTGTAATAGGAATAAGAAGATGAGAGATAGAGTGTGTTTCCCTGGAGCTGGTGTTGGGGACATTGTCAACAGGCTGGATAATATCATGTCAGGTAATGGGAACAAGCCCATTATCTGTCTCAGTGCTGGTGGAAATGATATTGGGAAGGGTAGGAGAGAAGAGCTGCTAGATAAGTACAGGTCAGCTATAGATTTCATTAAGTCTAAGGGAGGGATCCCAATCATATGTAGCATCTTGCCTAGAAGGGGAGTAGGAAATGAATGGTTGTCTAGGGCAATTGGTGTAAATTGCTGGCTAGACAGATACTGCAAGGAACTTGCAATCCCATTCATTGACAACTGGAACAACTTTTATGGCAAACATGATATGTATGCAAGGGATGGGGTACATCTCTCTGGGGCAGGGGTGGTAGCACTTGCAGACTCGATTGAGAAGGCCATTGGTGAAATGCCTATGGTTTTAAACTGATGGAAGATAGAGGTATGGGTGTGTGTGGGAAACAAGCAGGTTGCAACACTAGGGTTGGAAACAGTAAATGTATAAAAGGCATTCAGCATGAAGTTATAAATAAAGACAATAGATCAGGTCAGCAAACAAAGGGGGACAGCAGAGGGCAGCAAGGGACTAACTCCCTTAAGGTTTACTATACTAATAGCAGGAGTGTAAGAAATAAGATAGATGAGCTAAGATTAATTGCAAGTGCAGGAAACATAGATATTATTGCTATAACAGAGACCTGGCTCAATCTGAAAGATAGAGAGATGCCCTCTGAATGTCACATACAAGGCTATAAATTATTCCACACTGATAGGGTCAACAGGAAAGGTGGTGGAGTAGCGATGTATGTTAGAGACAATTTAAATTGTTGTGTTAGACAAGATATTAAATTAGAAGCGTCAGCCACTGAATCTGTTTGGTTACAGCTTCTCGAGGGCCGAGAAAAACTAATTTTGGGTGTGATTTATAGGGCCCCAAATCTTGATAGGGAGTGCAGTAAACTTCTATGGGACGAAATTCGTAAGGCATCTACATACGAAAATGTTGTGCTAATGGGAGATTTCAACTATAGACAGATTGACTGGAGCAATTTGACAGGAAATTTAGAGTCAGGTGACTTTCTTGATACGATCCAGGATTGTTTTTTAAAACAGTTTGTGACAGAGCCAACTAGGGGAAATAACCTTGACTTGGTTCTTGCCAGTAGGGAAACACTAATTAATAATCTTGAGGTTAATGATGAGCTTGGGGAAAGTGATCACAAATCACTCAGTTTTAATATATCATGGAATTCCCCTAATAATGGCAATCAAGTCTCCGTCCCTGACTTTCGCTTGGCTGATTTCATAGGACTAAAAAATTACTTAGGTGGGCTGAACTGGAATGACCTGACTAAGGGTCAGGTAGGTGGTGATGGTTGCCGATATGATGCTTTCCAGGGCATAGTTCTAGCTGCTCAGTCAAATTATGTTCCAAATAGGGAAATCAGATCAAACAAAAATGATCCTAAATGGATGAACAATAGATTAAAATAACTGATTGGTCAAAAGAGAGGCATATATAGGCAAATCAAAAGAGGAGAGGGGCAATTAAGAAATCGATATATTCAGTTAAAGAGAGAAATAAAAAAGGGAATTAGAAAAGCAAAAAGAGATTATGAGGTTAAAGTTGCAAGAGAATCGAAGACTAACCCAAAAGGATTCTTTCAGGTATACAGAAGTAAGATCAGGGACAAGATAGGCCCACTCAAAAGTTCCTCGGGTCAGCTCACTGACAGTGATAAGGAAATGTGTAGAATTTTTAACACATACTTCCTCTCAGTTTTTACACAGGAGGATACCAGCGACATTCCAGTAATGATAAATTATGTAGAACAGGACGATAATAAACTGTGCACGATTAGGGTCACAAGTGACATGGTCCTTAGGCAAATAGATAAATTAAAACCTATAAATCCCCAGGCCCTGATGAACTGTATGCAAGGGTTCTAAAGGAATGTAAAGAGGAGCTTAGCACACCTTTGGCTAATCTTTTCAACATATCACTACAAACTGGCATGGTGCCAGATAAGTGGAAAATGGCAAATGTGATACCTATTTTCAAAACAGGTGACAGGTCCTTAGCTTCGAACTATAGACCAATAAGCCTAACCTCCATAGTGGGAAAATTTATGGAATCAATAATTGCCGAGGCAGTTCGTAGCCACCTTGAAAAGCATAAATTAATCAACGAATCTCAGCATGGTTTTACAAAGGGGCATTCCTGCCTTACGAATTTATTAACTTTTTTCACAAAGGTATTTGAGGAGTTAGATCATGGTAATGAATATGATATTGTGTATATGGACTTCAGTAAGGCTTTTGACAGGGTCCCACATCAGAGACTATTGAGGAAAATTAAGGCACATGGAATAGGAGGAGAAATTTTTTCCTGGATAGAGGCATGGTTGACAAATAGGCAGCAGAGAGTTTGCATAAATGGGGAGAAATCAGAGTGGGGAAGCATCACGAGCGGTGTTCCACAGGGGTCAGTGTTGGGCCCCCTGCTGTTCACAATCTACATAAACGACATAGATGAGGGCATAAAGAGCGACATCGGCAAGTTTGCCGATGACACCAAAATAGGCCGTCGAATTCTGACGAGGACATTCAAGCACTCCAGGAAGATTTGAATAGACTGATGCAGTGGTCGGAGAAGTGGCAGATGCAGTTTAATATAGACAAATGCAAAGTTCTAAATGTTGGACAGGACAATAACCATGCCACATATAAACTAAATAATGTAGATCTTAATATTACGGATTGCGAAAAAGATTTAGGAGTTCTGGTTAGCGGTAATCTGAAACCAAGACAACAGTGCATAAGTGTTCGCAATAAAGCTAATAGAATCCTTGGCTTCATATCAAGAATCATAAATAATAGGAGTCCTCAGGTTGTTCTTCAACTCTATACATCCTTGGTTAGGCCTCATTTAGATTATGCTGCACAGTTTTGGTCACCGTATTACAGAATGGATATAAATTCTCTGGAAAATGTACAAAGGAAGATGACAAAGTTGATCCCATGTATCAAAACCTTCCCTATGAGGATAGACTAAGGGCCCTGAATCTGCACTCTCTAGAAAGACGTAGAATTAGGGGGGATATGATTGAGGTGTATAAATGGAAGACAGGAATAAATAAAGGGGATGTAAATAGTGTGCTGAAAATATCTAGCCTAGACAGGTCTCGCAGCAATGGTTTTAAGTTGGAAAAATTCAGATTCAGGAAGGATATAGGAAAGTACTGGTTTGGTAATAGAGTTGTGGATGAGTGGAACAAACTCCCGAGTACAGTTATAGAGGCCAGAACGTTGTGTAGCTTTAAAAATAGGTTGGATAAATACATGAGTGGATGTGGGTGGGTGTGAGTTGGACCTGATAGCTTGTGCTACCAGGTCGGTTGCCGTGTTCCTCCCTTAAGTCAATGTGACCTGACCTGACTAGGTTGGGTGCATTGGCTTAAGCCGGTAGGAGACTTGGACCTGCCTCGCATGGGCCAGTAGGCCTTCTGCAGTGTTCCTTCGTTCTTATGTTCTTAAGTCAAGGCTGTAATGTTCCCCTTGATCGTCCACTGTACATTTGGATTGGCTTGCGAGAGATAACATGATTAGAGTATGAGTAAGAGGAAGTAAATTCAGAACATAAAAATTCTGTATATGGATAATTCTTTTAATTTTCTAGCAAATTAGATACGAGATACTTTAATTGAACATTTTAAAGATGCATATAACAGCTGAAAGTGAATGTACAGTAAGTGAAGATAAAGGTTATTGGACTGGCATTAGTTGCCCGAACATAAACAGCTCTTCAACCACATTCCCTTGAGAGGGGCTTCAATGCTTATGAGGATCTCTTGATCTAAGGATATGAATTTTTTTTTTTTTACCTTGGATTTTACCCAGTTGCCTTCCATTTCCCTTGTATTGTATAATCCTAGTATTTGATTGATTTAAAGTGGGAGCACTAAACTCATAGGGGTTATACAGCACTTTGGAAAGTGGGACTCTGTGTGATTTGATCCAAGGTAAGTAAGGGTACCTTCAGTTCTTTCAATCAAGCACCCTTCATCAGTGTCAGTGAACCTCCCTAGAAAGGGTGTATAATACCTGTTGATTTTGTGCTACCCCATTATTATAATATTAACTCACATTGAAAATAAATGGCTACAACATATATGGCAGCTTGCTTGTGTGGTTAAATATATGTCTTTATAGGTTTATGCAACTTAACGTGATCTATTAACTGGTCACTAACCCACTGCTGTATCAGCTGTATATAGTAGGTTCACCGGTCTTGTTCCAGCCTGGGTCTTTTCCAGATGGTGACCTGGCATCAGCCCCCTCCCCTTGGTGGGGGGGAGTATCGCTTACTCTGTATCAGCTGTGCCGGGAACAAATTCTTTGCTGCTAGCTTAACAGACACTCGCATAAGTTTACTTAAACTACCTATATTGGTTGTGGAAAGGTAAGGAAATCCTGTTCTAATGAGGGTAAATGGTGCAGCACTTAGTATGGTTGGGAACTAAATATTTGCATGTTTCAGATAATTGAAGAAAGTGAAGACAGGCTTACAGAAGAACAGGTTGAAGAACTTATTTCACTAGTGGAACTCCACCTTCCAGAAAACAGCACTGGCCCTACTCAGATGGTTAATGGTGCACTGGGACAATAACTTATGGATTACTATAGACTTGTTTTTCTATCAGACAAAACTAGATTTTTTTTTTAAGTTGATTGTCTTATTAACTGTACTCTATATGAGAAAGTTTGACAAAAATTAATTTCTACATTATATTTTTTTTGGCAAGTGTAGTCTTGTATTTATTTTATCCTTAGAACATTTTTAATACAATGCATACCATTGCATGGGTGGAATAAAGTTTATAAATGATAACACATTTCAATCGCCAACTTCCACATGTTGAAAATGTAAGATTCATATTAAAAGCTGTTTCAGTGTGTAAATTTATTAAGGACCACTTTATGTTATCTGTTCTATCATTTAATAAATTTTGCTTAATACTTATTACCCATTATATTTTATGCTGACATTATGTAATGTTGTTACTGATTTAGATCTAAAACATCTCAGCCCAAGGAAGCTGCAAATGCACTTAATTCTGTGCAACTCAGAGCAAAACTTAATTGGAAAAACTTCATCCTACAAGTGATTGTACCGTATATTATCAAATATATTACATGGAGATATTTCAGTGCAGTTCTATAACAAGTCAAAAGACATCAGATTTTCATCTGGAGCAAAACACATTTTACAAAAAGTGACACTCCTAAGCCTCTATTAATATTAAAAACTGATAAGTGATGAAAATTTAAACTGTACATTTTGCAAACATTAATAACACTACAGGCTCGATGATCTAGCAACCCATCCCCCAAATTTAATGAGTCACTGACAGTTAAATAACTAACTTGTATATTTAGTTAAGTTAACCCAACCTTTAATAACTGATGGTTAAATCCATAAAGAAATTAACAATGTAATGCACTGGAAAATAACCCTGCTGCTGAGGGAACAGGTTGGATCATACAACAAATATTTTGCAAACTTAATATATATTGAAAATACTACATATTCATGTTCATTACATTACAAATATTTTGACAGTCATAGCAAGATAATCCTTGTAGTCTTTTTTTTTTTTTTTTTAACGCTAGAAATTGACAGTACTGTATATCTATTGCTGCACATTTTAAAAGAAAAGGCCTCGCATCCGGCGTCCCATGGCTAATCTCTCGTGCAAAAGGTTGAAGCGGTTGATAAATCTGTTCATTGTATTACAGCACTTTGTTATTGTTCCAAGGTAAGACATCAGTGCTACATCATTACATTGCTGAAAGAAAAAAATAATATGATTAGCAAAGTACAACAGAATTTAAAAAAGTAATATAACAGTAATGATAGGATAAGGAAGGTGGGGATAAAAAAAAAGTGAATATTTCATAATTATCATTAACATTGCTATGCAAGGGTAACTACTACCTTCAATCACTCTTAAGGCTAGGTTTTAGTTAATAACTCGCTGACAGATCAACCAAATATACCACAGGAAATATTTTACAAAGAGATAAACTTATCAAGATCACTCATTCTCTCTCCTAAAATAAACTTTTACATCCACTGATTCATACTGAATAGTACAATGACACAAATTTACAAATACAGTAGGGCCTCACTTTACGCTTCATGTAGTTTAGCTAATACGGACATTTCAAATCATGACCAAAACTCCTTACAGTATCCGGCTCCCACCCCCACCTCCTAACTCGTTAATACGGTCTCTGCGCACCACTCAGTTTGTCCACATTCTCTATGAGCTCCACGTCTCTCCATTATGTCCGAAAACTTTCCAAAATTTCAAGTGTTTTAAGGTTATTTCATATTTTATACTCTGATAATTAGTTATGTGTACCTGTACCTAAATAAACTTACACACTGTGCTGGCATGCAGGTACACATTAAAATACTAAGAGTGTCTTATCAGTCTTGAAGATGCCACATTAATAATAATATGTTTACTTAATAATATAAGCTGACAACTACAAATATATACAATTTCAATTTATGATGATCACTCACATTATAAAACTCTCCACGGAACTTATCACTACTTAAGACTGGAAGTCGATGAGCCAAAGCATTGACCTGGCGAAGAATTTCGTGATTGAACTCCACCTCGCCACGTTGGCTGGCACGAACATATTCTGCAATTAAGCGTACCCGGCTTGCCAGCATCTTGATGGCACTATATTGTGCTTGAAGATTTTCTGCAACTGTAATTAAATATATTTAAATAGTAACAAGACAGGCAGGCTAGTAGACAGGAGATGGTGAAAGACCTGTGATTGTAAGAAAAGGTAACACAAGAGTCCATATTTGACCTAGTATTTACCTGAAAAGAAGTAATTATTATACTATCAAAACACATTTGAAAAGAGCAATAACATGTGCTGCAAAGTATGAAGAAAACTACACACCTAAATGACTAGATTATATATATATAAAAAAGACATATAAGCCAAGATAGCATTTCAGAGAAATAAAATTAAAATATTACAATGGACAGATATAAACAAATTATACACAGAGTTCAACAATATAAAAAATGTTATAAAACAATTCCCTTTAGAAGAGAAAACACAAATAAATAGAGAGAGATTTTAACACAAGATAATGGAGAACTATGAAATAAAAATGGAGAATAATACAGATAGCACAACAACCCAAAAACTTGCTTGAATATCACACAAGCAAGATAGGAATATACATTACAACAATTAGGAGAATGAAAACTTTTAAAAATAAACAGTAAATAAGAATAAGATTTGTTTGTAAAAAAAGGGTGAAAGACAAAATACAATAACACAATACCTAAATGTTAGGAAATCTGCAAGGTATTAAATATGAAGTTTCAGTATGTGTTTACAAAAGAGGACATGCTAATTCAAATTCAGTGAGCTGAAATAAAGCTCACTGAAATAAAAACTACTGCTAAGTGTTGGAAAGAAAAATGCAAAAGGTTTTTAAAAAATAAGAACTAATTACTCTACCCATTGGGGATTATTTTTGGTATTTCATTAAATGACAGCATATACGTGAAAAATGACACATGCTGACATTAAAAAAAGTGATAGGAAAGATCCTTTAAACTATAGGCAATGTTGTAAAGTATGTACTGATAATAAAGGCCCTCCTAAAACTACAGTATAACAATTTACTGTAATTTTCCTGGCCCCAAACTAATGTTTTTATTATATTTTTGCAAATACAGTGCATACATTCTTACTCTGTATAGTCCTTGTAAAGGTATTTTGTGTAGAAAAGCATGGACTTTAGGATATGAAAAAATATAATATCAAGTCAGATCAGGCAATAAATGTATCAAAAATGCATGATTTTTCTAATGGAATGATCAATCATTTCAGTTTAACAAAGTTATCCAGTAAGATGCTATATATAAAGAAAAAACAAGAAACTAAACCATTATAGTAAAAAATACAGGAATTCATGTTAAATATTCACAACACTGACCAAGTGAGCTCTCCTGAGTGTCATGGGATGACATCCTGGCAACGTGGTCCACACCAATACGCTCAGCCTCTTCGGTAGCCAAGGTGTACTGCAATTCTACCAACAGCATGGTAGGAGCCCCATTTACTAAGTCCAAGACACTTTCAAATATGCTTACTGGAAGCTGTTACAGGAAAGAAAAACTTACAACAATTATCTTCTATTCACAGCAAGAATGATTTACCAATATCCAACAAACCCAATTCTTCATCAATTATATTAACTGAAGGTACTCTTATTTAAATGTTATTTGCACTTGCAAATACATTGACCATTAGCCGTTTAGTCACACCTATCAGTACAGTAATGCATAAGTATTTATGTAGATGTAAGAATTTTCTTTTTACAGAACTGTATTTGCAGTACAATATTAAAATAATGATTGTACTGTACATATATGTAATTGTATCCTTTACTTTCTAGCACTTGAGCATTATTCTCTAGTTACTAAGTTGACATGTCAAATGAGGTATGCGCCTCTGTTTCCTCGTGCATCCTCATAGAAAATGCTCAGAATACACGATTCTCAATTATTCTAGTCGAGTCCTCGACCCCCTTCTCATTTTAAAACATCTATTACTGATGTTTCATACAATCTAAAATCTTAAACATTATTTATTTTTCTCAAAGTACATTAGCATTCTCTTAGAGCATATAGTTAATTTAGGTTAGGTTACAGAGACCTATAAAACCATTTATTTAACCACTTAATAAAAAAATTTTTTTGTTTGTTTTGTGTTTTTTCAACAAACTGGCCATATCCCAGAAAGGCAGGGTGGCCCAAAAAGAAAAAGAAAAGTTTCTCTTTTTAAATTTAGTAAGTTATACAGGAGAAGGGGTTACTAGGCTCTTGCTCCCGGCATTTTAGTCGCCTCTTGCAACACGCATGGCTTAAGGAGGAAGAATTCTGTTCCACTTCCCATGGAAATAAGAGGAAATAAACAAGAACAAGAACTAGAAAGAAAATAGAAGAAAACCCAGAGGGGTGTGTATATATATATACGCTTGTACATGTATGTGTAGCGTGACCTAAGTGTAAGTAGAAGTAGCAAGACATACCTGAAATCTTGCATGTTTAACCCTTTGAGGGTCCGTCCCGTAGATCTACGGCTTTACGTTCAGGGTCCAAACCGTAGATCTACGTCATGAGCTCAGCGCACTCTGATAAACTGTGAGTGGTACATTTGGGCCTAGATATGAGAGAATACATCTATGTGGTATGTGTGCACCACATAAAACAGATCCTGCAGCACGCTGTGTATAATGAGAGAAAAAACTGAAATCATGATTTTTCTATTAAAACAGCGACTTTGCAGTGTTTTTTCGTATGTTTTTTATAGTTCTATTTGCAATTTCTTGGTCTCATTTGATAGAATGGAAGACATATTACAGAAATAGAGATGATTTTGATTGGTTTTAGCACTGGAAATGGCTTGAAACTGAGCTCAAAGTAGCAGAAATGTTAAATTTTTGCCGATATTCAAGAGTAAACAAACGACCTCACACGTCTAATACACGCCAGCTGGTGGGTCTAATATGCATTCACAAATATGGTGATGATATTTATACAATTATTACAGTATTGCATAACAGTAAATCTTCTATTTTTTGGTGTGAATAAAAATTCATTATGTGAATAAAAGATCAAAATGGAATTTATTTGTAAAGCCTCAAAACGTAACTAATGAACAGAGGAAATGTTAGTTTAGTTCCAGGAATACCTACATTGTTTATTCTGGACCCTGTTTTGAAATTGGAATATTTTGAACTTTGTGTTAAATTGGCCAAATTAACAATTTCCGATCACTTTAATTTGTAGTTGAAACAGTTGACTTGGCAATTTCTTGTGCTCAATCGATAGAATAGAAGTAATACTAGTGAAATAGCTAAGAATTTGGTTGACTGGAATAATGTAATTGGCCTAAAATGGGAGTCAAAGTCGGCAAAATCGCCGATTCGTAAATATCGCTGACACATCAAAATTTGCGAGAGCATAATTTCGTCAATTTTCCATCAAATTTCGTACTTTTTGTTTTATTACCTTCACAAAAAGATTCTCTACCATTTCATAAGAAAAAATAACAAATTTTTTTTTGAAAATTCTTGGACACTGGGGCACCACTTCAGATTTGGGCCTTGGACCCTGAAGGGGTTAAGAGACAGAAAAAAGGCACCAGTAATCCTACCATCATGTAAAACAATTACAGGATTCCGTTTTACACTCACTTGGCAGGACGGTAGTACCTCCCTGGGCGGTTGCTGTCTACCAACCTACTACCTACAACTACTAAACATATCAGAAAAAATATACCACACTACACTACAGTTTAAAAACTGTAGTGTAAAGCACCCTTCTGGCAAGACAGTGATGGAGTGAATGATGGTGAAAGTTTTTCTTTTTCGGGCCACCCTGCCTTGGTGGGAATCGGCCAGTGTGATAATAAAACAAAAAATAAATGTCTGGTAATGAGGTGGCCAAGGAAAAATGGAGTGACGATAGGATAAACAAAAATGTATCGCCTCTTTCACTTAGCAGCTCATTCACCTTATGTTAAATTTTAGTGGTCTGTTCCTTTTGCAATTAGAAAATCGTTTTGTCACACAACCTTGTACGAAGACTCTTACCAAACACATTTTCCTTATTGTTTTCTTTAACACATCTGTACAATATACTTGAATATTTCTAATGAATACAGTATAATGCTCTGATCTGCTTTACAAATTATCTTGTTACTACTCACATCTGTGTGACGTGCCATAGGGTTCAGTTTGAGGAATACAGGGCTATCCAGGAGATCACAGACTTGTTTATGAATCAAGAGGTCAGGAGGGCCAGGAGTATCACCAGTAGTGTACCAGCCAAGTAAGTCCATGTCACTAAATACTTGCTTATCTAAAAATATATAAAAAAAAAAAGTGACAAAATTAATTTATACAAATTCATCCTACAAAATATACAACTGAATCCCTAAATTTGTGAGGGTAAGGTTCACAGTATTCCTCACAACTTCAGAATTCACATTATTATTATAATCAAAAAGAAGCGCTAAGCCACAAGGGCTATACAGCATCAGAATTCACAAATACAATTCAATTCTCCATATAATAAATTTTATTTTAGGTTTGTGGTCATATTGCATTTTAGAGCAATTCAACCTCTTTGAATATCACTAACCCAGTTAATCCTGACATGCACAGAAAATTTAAAAAATAAAATAAAGAAATTTAGGACTCAAAACTCCTTCAAGTAGGTTTAGAATGAAACTATACAATTAGTTTTCAATTAAGAGGTTGTGAACCAAGCCCCAAATAATGGGCACTTTGCTTTACTGCAAAAACTCTGTTACCAAAACTGATTTCCTCATTACAAACTTTAACCCTACTGCCTTAAATAATATACTTGTGACATCACATGCAAGAAAAAAGAAATCCATTAGTACCATACTCTCATAATATTATATTTTTCAAAAAAATCACAACTAACTTTTACCATATTTACTGTAAATACAAATTATATTTTTACTGTTATGCAGTTTGTTTTGTCAATTAACCATGCTGCAACTAAATTCACAGAAAAAGAAATTTGCATCCTGCTTCAACCTTTAGTATAATACTGAATATATATATACATGTATATAAAAAAATAAAAAAAAAAAAGATTCTGAACTTCCATATCAGCATTAAACTCTAATATTTACGTACTACAGGTCCACATTCCTTTATCCGAAATTATGAAATTTGAAAAGTTCCGAATACCAAAGTTTTTTTGTGGAGTGTGGAGCATCAGTCATCTCTACATAACTCCAACGCCACCACGTGGCGGCGTGACCCAGCATTGACAGCCAGAGTGGCAGGCATCAGTTGTGTCTCAGCGCTTGTAGTATTCACATGTGTGTCTGCTGTTTGCTGATATTTTGTTTTTGCCTTTTATTTTGTGACTGTTGAAGTTCACTGTGAAAATGTCAAAAAGAGCTGCAGATACCCCTATGCAGTTGTTAATGCTTGGAAGGATGCTGATAAATCAACATTAACAAATGCTTGGCACAGACTTTGGCCTAAAACAATGTTTGATGTATATAAACCTACAGATGAAGACTTTGAAGGATTTCATGCCACTGATGAGAAGATGATATCAAACCCGGTAACTTACGCTAAAAGTTAAAGTGAAAATAAGTTACAAGAAGCTGACATCAAAGAAATGCTGAACATTTACAATGATGCACCTGTTGTGCGTGCATTCCTTGAGTGATGGTGAAATTGCATGAGAATAGTAGCGATGAAGATATTGTGAACACAGGTGAAAAAAATCCCCATAGACGATATGGTGAAAATATGTGATCAGTTACTTGCTGGCGTTGAACAATGTGCATTTATCAGTGAGCAAGAGATTATGGCAATTTATTCAGTTACAGAGAGATTGCTTAGGCAGAAACCTATGTTAATAAGACAGACGACACTTGAAGAAGTCTTTAAAAATGCTGTCTGTCAATCGTCTTAAGAATTGTGTTCCTGGTCTATAATTATCCCATTATTTCATTTATCAATATATTACTCTATAAATAAACCATAGTAGTATTTGTAGTCTTTATTTATCCCACATAGTGTGAGTATTCATACGTTTTTGCTGCAATGTTAATGTTTGATTATAGGGTGCTGCTCTAGACCCCACCTTCATTCTGAAATTCGAAACACTACTGGCCCCAAGGGTTTCGGATAAAGGAATGTGGACCTGTATTAATACTATGCCTAGATTAAGTCTGCCAGAAATGCTTTGCAGTTTGGAAATCAAGTAGTTTTAAGTTCTAGTTTCAGTCTGCTTGAAATACTTTGTATAACCAGTGGCTTTCCATAACGCATGAAATAAATGTCACCTAATTTTGCAACAAATGCATAGAGTACCTTTTAAAAATAAATATTCAGGCAACAAGAGTACAGCTCATGTACACATTTTAAAAATTTCTACAATATACTTACACTGCTCTTCCTTAACTGTATAATAATCACGATTGATGATGATATGTCCACCTAATTCATCGTAACTCAATTCGAAAGAATTCATTATCTCTATGTGGCGACCAGTCTGCTTACCAATCAGAGCTCCCAGTACTGTAAATATGTATGTAAATACTGTAATTTGTTTTTGCATTAATGATTTATTTTCTCAAACAGCACACTAACCTCAAGGTATTATTACTACATATTCCATAAGTTAGGTAAAAGGACAAGTGCAACTAATGTGACATTTTATTGTGGCAATGTTTCACTATCAATAAAATGTTACATTTGTTGCACCTGTGTCCTTTTACCTAACATTGTCGGTAATTCTACCATCATTGATACATATTCCATAAAAATATAATAGCAAAACAGTACTGCAGATACCTAACTCAAAATGGCTGCAGTAAGAAAATTTAATTAGATTTCAAGAATAGCATAAGGAAGCCAGGACTAAACTTGTTACATGATTCCTCTGAAAAACAAAATACTGTAGTACAATACTTCCCCAAAATGCTGCCTGGGGACTAATAAAGACCAATCAATTGTAATATCACCAACCATAAATAATAATACACATCCTGCAGCCATAAAAACTATGTACATTAAAGTACGTATATGAGTTTAAGGGACATATTGTACATAGTATTTAAATTTCTATACACCTAGTTGAGGTACTTGAGACATTAACTGATAGCCAAAACCTTTAAAAAATTAAATATGGTATATATAACAACCAAACTGACAATGAAGTAAATTACTATACCATATGCTCCCATGGCATAGATATAAGAACATCAGAATGAAGGGACAATGCAGCAGGTCTACTGGTCCATGTTAGGCATGTCTAATTTACACCCACCACCTACTCATGTACTTGTCCAACCTGTTTTTAAAGCTTCCCAAAGTTCTTGGCTCAGTGATACTGCCTAGGAGTTTGGTCCATTCATCTACAGCTTCAATGTCACACTCGCACTTCCCAACATCTTTCCTACATCAAAATTTCCCAAGCTTGAATCTATTTCTGCAAGTCTTGTCTTGGTTAGATATTTTTAACACACATTTATATCAAGTATGAAACAGGAGTGGTTTGGGATATTGGCAGTTTGGAGGGATATGTTGTGTATCTTTATACGTATATGCTTCTAAGCTGTTGTATTCTGAGCACCTCTGCAAAAGCAGTGATAATGTGTGAGTGTGGTGAAAGTGTTGAATGATGATGAAAGTATTTTCTTTTTGGGGATTTTCTTTCTTTTTTGGGTCACCCTGCCTCGGTGGGAGACGACCGACTTGTTGAAAAAAAAAAAAATGAAACAGTGCTGATCAGAAATTAAGACTGGTATAACAAAAATATATAGCAACAGGGCAGAGTTTGACTTTTTAAGATTAGCAAATGTTAGGAAAAAAATTTCAGTAATCATACACTTTTGGTAACACAAATGTGATTACAATGTAAATCCAAGTATTGTAAGTTCTTATTGTAGATTTTATAAATATTGTACATAAAATATATGCAGTAGTGCCCACTTACATTCTGCACTAATAATTATGATTTTTGTCAAGCTGAATTATAAAGAAAAATGTTAGTTTTATATCAAATGTGCTGGTATTTTCCTTGTTCTTAGACATGTATGGAAAGTTCATGTTTTTCGGGGTAAAGATTTTCTAAAAACTTTAGATTATATAACTGTTTGGTAGTTTGGCTGAGACAGCTGCTGCTCCTGCATAATGGACATGTTCACTGGATGATGCGTATTACCTCATGTCATACTCTCATACAATTATACTCACCACTGACCTGCCCCCTCCCCAAAATCCACTCACCCTCCCTCAGACATTCCATTTGCTGCCTACACCTACATACTGTAGCTCTTGTTTAATTAACATGTACAGTAAATATACATTAAACAATATTTAGTATTATTTGTAGTAAATATTATTTAAATAAATTAACAATATTTAGTATTATTTGTAGTAAACATTATTTAAATAAATGAAAAGGAACAATAGCAATTGTAAAATATTGGGTAAATAAATTAAATTAGATTACTGCATGAGAACACAACTGATTATAACAAAGCTGTCTATCGGAAAATAGGTTGAGTTACATACACCTGACCAAGGAACAATTTTCAGAAATGTATTAACATCGTAAATTGTAGCCCTGTTATAATTGCAACAACAACAAGGGTGAAAAAAAGAAAAAAGATGATCATCTTCTCTCACCTCTATATGGTGAGAGAAGGGCATAATGAAGCCTCAGACCCTTAGTATCACACAGCGAGGTAGCATAAAATATCAGTAGGCAACTTTTAATCATGAATGTAGCTGTGAATGACCTCTTAATAAATTTAACATATAGATAAACAACAGTTCAATAAAACCCAATTCTTACCTTGTACTGGTTTGCCCTCCTGAGCTCTCTGTCGTGTCCAGTGCTCCGAGATGTTGAGTATGACCAAAGGATGGAGCGAGACTGAGACACTACCCACTGTGCCTGCTGATGCCATTACAGTACCTCCATCTCCACTAACTACCTCACTGTTACTGCCTCCTGCAACAACTACACAAAGTCCTTATATACTATATTAACATACTTGTACATGAACTGTACAATACTATACGTATTGTATACATAACACACTAATCACTCCCAAGCGTTGCAACACATGTCTTGATCAAAATGCAAAGATTTCACAAATCAAAATTTTAATGTGTTATAAATGAGGATATTAAAGTTACCTGAAAACCTTAAAGCTGAAATCTTGCCCTCATGACCAACAACACCAGATGATGCTTTAAATAGTTAAAAATCCTAATTACTACACATATTTAACTGTTTAATACAATATACACATCTTATTCATTCCATGGGAAAATAGTCAGAATCCTTTCCTTGTAGCTACATGTATTTAATTCATTAAAGGCAATTCAAATATTTGTGGCATAGATCTTCACATGATTTGATCTTTCATCTACATAACCTCAAATCCCAAAATATCTTTATATTTGGTCAAATATTACTAACATAATAATAATAATAATAATAATAATAATAATAATATCTTTATTTACTACAAGTACATGTACATGGTATATAGGCCTAGCTGACATCAATGACATACTACTATATAGAAAGCCCTTTATTATGCAGAGCATTTTGGACAAATTAAGTCAGTTTTATCCCAGGATGCAACCCACACCAGTTGACTAACTCCCAGGTACCCATTTTACTGATGGGTGAACAGGGACAGCAGGTGTCTCATGCAAACACGTCCCTAATGTTTTCCAGCCGTTACTATATACACTTAGATACTGTTGCAGCATAATGTGGTTGTAGTGAGCCAAGACATAAAACTATGATAACATTTGTCATAGGGAATCCAAAGTCATCAGTTCAGAATCCCTCACCTACCCACTTTCAAAGTACGGTACTATCACACTAGTATTTCTAATGGTAGCATAATATGTATAATCACAATATAGGATAATACTCTCCTTTATCATTTATGTTTATCAATACAGAAGGAATTGTTAAAAGATAGGAAACCCTTGTATGCAAATGCTCTGCAGTATCCTAAAAGTGTGCTTTTCAAGTTACATGACTTTTTTTTTTTTTTTTTTTTTTTTTTTTTTTTTTTTTTTTTTTTTTTTTTTTATTATCACACCGGCCGATTCCCACCAAGGCAGGGTGGCCCGAAAAAGAAAAACTTTCACCATCATTCACTCCATCACTGTCTTGCCAGAAGGGTGCTTTACACTACAGTTTTTAAACTGCAACATTAACACCCCTCCTTCAGAGTGCAGGCACTGTACTTCCCATCTCCAGGACTCAAGTCCGGCCTGCCGGTTTCCCTGAATCCCTTCATAAATGTTACTTTGCTCACACTCCAACAGCACGTCAAGTATTAAAAACCATTTGTCTCCATTCACTCCTATCAAACACGCTCACGCATGCCTGCTGGAAGTCCAAGCCCCTCGCACACAAAACCTCCTTTACCCCCTCCCTCCAACCCTTCCTAGGCCGACCCCTACCCCGCCTTCCTTCCACTACAGACTGATACACTCTTGAAGTCATTCTGTTTCGCTCCATTCTCTCTACATGTCCGAACCACCTCAACAACCCTTCCTCAGCCCTCTGGACAACAGTTTTGGTAATCCCGCACCTCCTCCTAACTTCCAAACTACGAATTCTCTGCATTATATTCACACCACACATTGCCCTCAGACATGACATCTCCACTGCCTCCAGCCTTCTCCTCGCTGCAACATTCATCACCCACGCTTCACACCCATATAAGAGCGTTGGTAAAACTATACTCTCATACATTCCCCTCTTTGCCTCCAAGGACAAAGTTCTTTGTCTCCACAGACTCCTAAGTGCACCACTCACTCTTTTTCCCTCATCAATTCTATGATTCACCTCATCTTTCATAGACCCATCCGCTGACACGTCCACTCCCAAATATCTGAATACGTTCACCTCCTCCATACTCTCTCCCTCCAATCTGATATTCAATCTTTCATCACCTAATCTTTTTGTTATCCTCATAACCTTACTCTTTCCTGTATTCACCTTTAATTTTCTTCTTTTGCACACCCTACCAAATTCATCCACCAATCTCTGCAACTTCTCTTCAGAATCTCCCAAGAGCACAGTGTCATCAGCAAAGAGCAGCTGTGACAACTCCCACTTTGTGTGTGATTCTTTATCTTTTAACTCCACGCCTCTTGCCAAGACCCACAAAATTAAGATCATAGGCAGTCACATACTGTGCTGTATATTTTTTTAAATATAATATGAACACTGAATTAAAGATTTACTGGACCTAGTAAAAGATTATTTTGGGGTTAAACTATTTATGGGATTTCAATATTAACATGACTGGAGCAATATTAAAGGAAATGCAATTTTATCAAAGTACCAGAAAATCATGACAAGACTGTGAAGCAAGCCTTCTGAAGTCATCTTTTTACAAGGTTAAAATAAAAACTAGCCACAGATTTTTATAGTAGTGTAATGAACAATCGATGAATTTACTGCACTAATATCCTTTTATTTGGGTTAAATCTCTCATGGAAATTCTACATCAATTACATTAGAACCATATTTAAGGAAATATGGAAAGGTCAATTTTTCAGAAAATTATGGCACAGGTTATAACAATAGCCTACCAAAATACTGTACATCTTTTTTTTTTTATCAAACTAAAAATATAAACCAGCCATAGAATCTTTTATAAAATCTTATCAACAGATTTAACAAATCTATAAGCTTTTTTTGGATAAGCTTGTCTTGCGGTATTTCAACATTTGCATAATTATAATCATGTCGTATATACTTGAGGATATATGGTGTCTGTGTTCACATTAATGCTTATTATTTGATACCTGAATGATTCATACATGGATCAGCTATGTATTCTCTATCTTCAGGGAAATTAATGGATATATTTTTCTTCCCTTTCCTTCTGAACTCTCTTTCTCTTCCCTTCCCCAGTCACATAGGGCTGGCTGTCAAGTGTGTTTTACAATGCTTTCCTTATTAATGAGGGCTGACTTCCATACTGAAGAACAATTTGTTTAGAAGTGTTAGGGAGGAATGTGTCGGTTTTTTCATTTGGGCATCAAGGACTTATTGCTTACACCAGACTTTGTATTCCACTGGTCCATATTCTAACATTGTTCAGGCATGTGTTACTGTACTTGCATTTTATTTTACTGCAACCCTGAATTCTGGTCTATTACTTCAATATGAATCAAAATTGTTATTAACACAAATGTTGGTAGATTGTACCAACCTGACAATGATGATGATGATGCTGATGATTGAGCTGGTTGTGGTAAAGGTGAGGTGGGGGCAACAACATTTATAATACCACTAGCAGCCTGGCTGGTACTCTCCACTGCTAGTGACTGGGAGGATGATGTGGCTTCAGCTGCCACATCTTCATCCACTTCCATACTTGCCATATCTTTGGCAGACATACTGTTATATTCTGAAAAAATGTCAAAGAGTAAAGTATCCCACAAGTTATGAACAATCATTATTAACGGTTTTATCATAAGGAAACATGCTAGGATAATGTTAACAACAGAAATAGTTGCAGCATTGACATCTAAGATATACTGAGCTTTTGCTTGTGACATCACTGGTTACCAGTCCATATATTTTTGCCCATTTTGAATGTTAAGCCTTATTGACAACCACATATACAAACCATCCACACATTATTTCTTTCATTCTTCTCAGCCACTGTGATATCCATTATCTGCTGTGCCACTGGATATAGTAATCAGCAAGGTGATAAACCAAATCTAGCATGATACAGATTCCCAATGTTTTAAAACACCAAAAAATAAGATTTTTGCCAAAAGGTAGAATGATATGCAACCAATAACTGACTGATTAGTTCACTGGGTTTTAAGCAATGGCAACTGAGGCAACATGTTACATGTGCACCACCACCCAAAGAATACTTTAATCCATAATACTATACATGTTATGCAAAGCTCAATGTTAATGCCATAATATTCCCTAATCAACATAAATGTTGCAGGGTTTTTCATTTTACAAATGACACAGTCAAAACTACAAAACCTACATGTAAAAATGACACGAAATCACAACAAAAAAAGTTAATCATTTTCAAGGCACACAACTAACCACATTAATATTCATACATTTATTGTATGAATGTAACAAAAATTGTCAATTCTGTTGGTACCGACATCACTTTATAGAAACTTAGCTGCTTTAACATACAGTGGTTAATACTGAGTGTTGGGGCTCAGTTCTGTGCTTAGCGATAACCAATTACTAAATTCCAAGATCTATACGTAGTTCCACAGTATGTTAAAGAAAGTAAAAAAGTAACCTAACCTAGCCTGGCTTAAGTCTCAGTGAAACACACTCTCAAGTAGTCAATGAAGCAAGAACTTTGGGTAACTTTAAATAAAAGTTGGATGGGTACACGAGGTGTGAGTTGGACCTGCCTAGCATGGGTTAACAGGCCTACTGCAGTTCTCCACTGGAAAAAAGTCACTGACTTTGTTTTTTTAGTTATCCTAGGTAATTTACACTATGTATGATAATTGTACTTATGTGTACCTGTGCCTACATACACTTACAACTTCTATTAATTATAGGGAAAATACAGCAGTAGAATACGCCAATGGTATGTAAACAAGACAACACGAGGGTTATAGCAATATACTCATGAAAACTTGTCCACCAGGGACTCTCACAACTAATTTGAATGGATAGCCCATTGTATGAAACATCTTCGTAAATATAAAACCATAATTCACATATTATTTTATATAGTCAATATAGGGAAGTGCTGAACAAGTAATAATTTTGTTTTGATCCAAGGAGAGGATAGCATAAACTCTTTATAAGAATTATAATATTATTTAACCCTTAAACAGTCCAAAGAGATTGACGTTCAAATTCGTAGTGCTACAAAAGTAGACCTACTTTTTATACACATTTTCAAATATAACAAAAAAAAATGTAGATAAAAGTTTTTTTTACACATTTTCAAATGTAAAACAAAAAAGAAGATCTACATTTTTTACATACTTTCAGATGTTAAAAAAACGTATATATACGTTTGGACCATTTAAGGGTTAATTATATAATTATTTCTAAAAGAACATGATACAACTATTACAGACCAAGCTGACATCACTGGCATAGTATATAGAAAGCCTCTGGTTATCCAGAGCATTCTGGGCAACTTAGGTTAATCTTGTCCCTCAGAATGCAACCTACAAGACAAGATTGCTAGGTGCACAGGCATAAGGAAACATGCCCAAACATTTCGCCCGTGATGGGATCAATCCCAGGACCCTCAGTGTGTGAGCTTAGGATGCCATCAATCTAGCCATGAGCACCTTTGGATCAAGAGCCCTTCACCAGAATCAAGGAACCCCCTGGAAGGGAAATGCAAATACCTTATTTTCTAGCATATAAGGCACGCTTTTTTTCCCCCACAAAAATTCTTGTTAAATCAGCCTGCGCCTTATGTTCTCAAGGTCAGGATCAAGAATAGGCTTTGGGTTATGCTTTAGTAGTTGTTTACTAACGTTACAACTGCTTAGAAACATCATCTGACATGTCTTATATGCTCGTGCACCTTATATACCAGAAAATATGGTATATAAATTCTTGGAGGGAAAATAAAGACAAGGAAACCGATCAAGAACAGCCAGTCAAGATGAAGATTCCTCATTATGACAGATCATTATTATTATTATTATAATCAAGGGGAAGCGCTAAGCCCGTAGGATTATACAGCGCCTGGGGGGGGATGTGGAAGGCATTCAGGCTTAATTCGGGGAACTGGAGCACAGATCCAATTCCTTAAATCAAGAGCCCCTCACCAACATCAAGGAACCTTCCGTGAGGGGTATGACAGATCATACTAATTAGCTTGCTGGCAACAAATTTAAAATGGTTTTGGAGTAGCAGGTTCAGACTCAAATACTTTATTACATACTTTTATGCAGTATACAAGTGAAGTGGTTTACATATAAGAAATAGTTTGGCATAAAAGAAAGCCACTAGGCAGCAGTAAATTTCAGGTTTAAAGCCTATCAACTGTATCATGGTTATTAATATATATGCTGTGTATATATTATGAGGAACTAACAGTAAATACCAAGACATGGTTAATTAATGAGGTTTACAAGTTTATCAACTAGGGTCAATAAGGCTGCACATCGTGTACATGACAATATTTCCTAAAATAGGGATAAAATACATTCAGCATATATACGCTGAGAGAAATACACCTCATTTGTGTATATAATCCGAGGAACTAGCAGTAAATAACCAGATTTGGTTAATTAATGGGGGTTTATAGCTTTTCCACTAGTCATTAGAACGTGTTCACCATCATACAAAAATATTTTAATTCTTAAAACGGATTAAAGTAAACCCTCTCTCAGCATATATACGCTGAGAGAAATACACCTCCGGGTGTATATATGGTGAGACAGTAGTAAAAATACCAGGAGTGCTGAAGGCCTGCAACACACCAGCTGCAACACATTGCAACAGAAAACAGGAATCAAAACAAACCCAGCTTCGAGACCTCAACAGCTTCAAAATTTCGAAACTTAGAGTGTCGAGCGAATGTGAAGCTTTAGGGGAGGGGAGTCGAGGCTTCGCTCAGCTCGAAGCTTCGAACTGGACATTTTGAGCAGCTTGGAGGAGAGAGAGACGTGGCGCGGAACAATACTGGACGACACCTACACGTGTCTCCACCATTACTTTCATCACCATGTTTTTCTCAGGCAGTCTCCCGTGTTATTAATGGCTTACTATGACAAGTAATAAGAAAGCGTCTTCATTTCATCCATTAAACCTTGTTCCATATGTCAACAAAATTTAGTTACTTTGACTCTTTTGGTTATTCTTGGTAATTTACACATATATTTACATCTAAGACAATTGTATTCATCCAAAGATTGTGTAACTACCTGAATAAACTTCCTTACTTTCACCTAAGTTTATTCAGGTATACACAAATACAGTTACATAGATTATCATACATAGCAGCGTATTTGTAGAGAACTTAGGATAACTCAAAAAAGTCAGTGATTTGTATCCATTGAAGTCATTTTAATACCTTATTATTATGCTATAAGAGATAATGTCTTAAGTAGAAGTTGTGCAAATATGCTACTGATAGCATTTAATTCATTTAAAGACAGTATAACTAAATAGAGGGTTTTCTTGTAAGTTAAATCCATAATGTCTTTCTCTAAATGCAAGTTTAAGACAATTAAGGGGTAACTTATTTGTTTATTACAGGTAATGCTTAACTTGATTGCATTAATCTAGATTAAATTGTGCGTAATATACTTCGTAAGATTATATGTCAAAAAAATTATGTATTAAGATTAAATATAAAAATTATTAAATGTTGGGATCCCAATGGAAATAAATCACTTCGATTTTTTGAGCATTAAATAAATTACTATTAAAGACAATTATAATCAACCAGAATTTGTGTAAAATTGTATTCAGATAAAATTACTGTCCGAAATGCATGACATAAATATGGGCTTTTTGCATGTAAAATAGAAAAAAATGTGTAAAGTTACATTGACTTTTTTGAATTATACTAGGTAATTTACACTATGTATGCTAATTGTACTTATGTGTACCTGTGCCTAGATATACTTACTCACTTAGTAAACCTATTTAATATCATGGAAAATAAACTCTAGTTAATAGGAACTAGTTTACTATGCGTAGGTGTTGTGGGAGGAGGTGAAGAGGAGGAAGTGACAGCTACACTATCTAGCTGCTGTTCTACACTCGCTGCTTAACCTGCTCTAATATCTGCCTCTACCTGCTCCAGTAGTCTCGAAACGCTATGGCTCCTAAACAGAGAATGAGGATTGCTAATGACAAAGCCGCTAAGAACGTTACACAGAGAGGGAACGTGCCCAAAACCACGGTAAGACTGGTTTATGGTGGTGTGGGTAAGCTTAGTTATGCGTCTTGTACACAGATTGTGACTCATTTTGTCCATAAGGTGTGTTTACTGAAGGTTTCTATTTAGGGTAGAAACAGGATTGTGTTAGTTATGTACGCTCTGTAAAGTAAGGTAATTAAGCAAGCAGTATTTTAAGTGATATTGTTAATTGAAGTTTGTCAAGGACGTTGGCGCCTTTAGGGCCTAAGGCAGTGCATCGGTTTTCACAGCCTCAAAAATATTTAGTTTTGAGTACACGAAGTAGTTTGTAGTAAGGAAATTACGTTGATAAAGTAAACTACCCATTGAGCCACTGAAGTTATAGACCTGCATCCTAGTGCCCATAGTGGAAATTTCTGTTTTGGCCTGGAAATGGAGCAAAAGTTGCCTAATATGAAAGGTGGATTATTCCACATAACCAGGGGAGTTAGGCGTCTACACCATACTAGTCTTTAGCTAGGTTTTTTCGCTTTTTTTGTTTTTAAGATATCACATCAAAATTGTGTGCTTTCTTATTATAATCAAAAAGAAGTGCTAAGCCACAAGGGCTATACAGCGCTGCAGGGTAGGGAAGGAAGCGAGGGTATCGGGCGGCAGAAGAGGGGAGGGATGATTAGTAGGTTACAGAAAACAGCGGGGCAGGGGATAGTGCAGGGGTAGAGGGCAGCAAGAGTGAGGTAGAAAGGGCTGAAGGTATCATCAGAGTTTGTGGAGTAAGTCAGTTGTCAAAAAGTCAATGAGAGAGTCCGGATGAAAGGTGGGTCCATCAGTGAGAAGGGAAGGTGTGCTTTCTTATAGCTGTTTCCCTGTATCCCTGCAACCTAATTGCCTCCCGTTCCCTCAGGCATTGTACGACTTGTATGAGTTTATTACTTTACTAAACTACAGGGTAATTTGAATAATACTTTAACCAAAAAGCCTAAAAAAGTCAAACTAAGCACTAGTGTCCAACAGACACCTGGTATCCTGTGGAAGGCCTCTGTTCAGTACAGTTTTAGACATTTTTGCCTTGCAAATTTAATAACTCGTATATCAGAGACAGTTTACTATCATAATCTTGTGTATGAGTAGGGTCTTAAGACGAGATATTCCAATTTTTAATTTGGAGACTTAGCCAGTTGAAGCGACAGGTTCTGAATCTGTGGAAAGGAAGAATTAGTACTTATAAACTAAAAGTAATTTTAATCAAACCGAATGTAAACCAAGCCTGAAGAATTCCGGTGGACTGCTTAGTCAAATAGTGTTTGCGGTTTTCAGAGACCCACATAAAGGATCACCATGACAATGAAATATAGATCCCAGGTTATAACCTATACAGATGCAGCAGAGTGAGCAGGCAAAGGAGGGGGGACCTGTACGTCAGTCGCTGATATGCTCGGAACTACAGAATGTTTCAAATGTAGTTGAAGTCTTGGCAGTAAAGACAGAGTACTAAACCCTAGTCATTGTGGTTGTATACAAGCCTCTGGATGTAGCTTCCCAACAATTCCAGGAACAGCTTTTGAAAACAGACCACTATCTGGAAAATTTTCCAGCTCCTGCAGAGATAACCCCAGGAGGCAGCTCAGATGAAAACGCGCGCGCGCGCGCGCGCGCGCGCGCGCACACACACACACACACACAAACACACACACACACACACACACACACACACACACACACACACACACACACACACACACACACACAACACACACACACACACACACACACACACACACACACACACACTCACTCACTCACTCACTCACTCACTCACTCACTCACTCACTCACTCACTCACTCACTCATACTCACTCACTCACTCACTCACTCACTCACTCACTCACTCACTCACTCACTCACTCACTCTCTTACTTACTTTCAAATTTCTGCACCAAATTCACTTTAAACCAGCAAATAATAGAGCCAACAAGATTGGAGAATACACTGGACCTCATCTTCACTAACAATGATCTGATATGAAATATTACCATATCAATGACAATATACTCGGATCACAACATAAGAGGTTCAGACATGTATGCCAAGGGCCCCAGACCAACAAAATGTTATCACTCATGAGGGAGCCTTCACCAAATTCAACTTAGTAATGAAAACATATGGTGGGACAGTCATTCAGGTCCTAAATGATATAACCTGGGAAGATAGCCTAAGCAACACGGATCCAAACCTATGTCTAGAACAGTTTAACTCCAGCACTCGAGGTATGCTCAAAGCATATTCCTTTCAGGAAAAGGAAGAGAAGATGTAAACTAGAAAGAGACAGGCACTCCCTATACAGGAGAAGGCAAAGAATAATAGAACGGCTAAAAAAGGCCCAATATATCTGTAATACAAAGGGACACACTGGTCAGAGAAATAGCAAACATCAAACTAAAGCTAAAGGAATCTTGCAGGATCAAGAAATGCGGGAAGAACTAAAAGCTATAAATGAAATTGAAAGAAACTCAAAATATTTTTCTTATGCCAAATCAAAGTAGAAAACCACATTCAGTATTGGGCCCCTACTTAAATGAGGTGGGTCCTACAGATGACAGCAAGGAAATGAGCTACTCAAGTTCCAATATGACTATTTAGCAAGCCACTAACCAGACTGAGAGTCAAAGACCTAAATTATTTTTTTTTATGAAAGAGACAGAATTTGATAGACTCGAACATATTTGATATTATCCTGACGCCAGATGATTTTGAAAAGGCGATAAATGATATGCCCATGCACTCTGCCCCAGGCCCAGATTTGTGAAACTTGGTGTTCATCAAGAACTGCTCTTAACATCCTATGGAGAGGGAGCATGGACATGGGTCATCCCACAGCTGCTAAAAACAGACATAGCCCCACTCCACAAAGGGGACAGTAAAGCTGTAGTAAAGAACTAAAGAACTACAAACCGATACAGTGCTGTATAGCCCTTGTGGCTTAGCGCTTCTTTTTTATTATAATACAAACCGATAGCACTAACATCCCATATCATTGCCACCCATCTAGATACCCATCAGTTACACAACCCAGGGTAACATGGGTTTAGAGCAGGTCGCTCCTGCCTGTCCCAACTACTGGACCACTGTGACAAGGTCCTGGATGCTCTAGAAGACAAACAAAATGCAGATGTAGTATAAACAGACTTTGCAAAAGCCTTTGACAAGTGTGACCATGGTGTAATAGTGCACAAAATGCATGATCACAGGAATAACAGGAAAAGTTGGTAGATGGATCTATAATTTCCCAACAGATAGAACAGAGTAGTAGTAAACAGGGTAAAGTCTGAGGCAGCTACTGTGAAAAGCTGTTCCACAAGTTCCTCCCATCCTGTTCCTCATCCTCATATCTGACAGACAGGGATGTAAGCTACAGTACTGTCTTCCTTTGCAGATGACATCCAAATCTGCACGAGTGTCCTTCATTGAAGACACTGCAAGACTTCAGGCAGACCTCAACCAAATCTCTAAATGGGCCACAGAAAACTGACATTCAATGATGAGAAATGTCAGTTGCTCCAATATGGAGAACATGAGGAAATTAAAACTGTATCAGAGTACAGTGGACCCCCGCATAACGTTGGCATAGCATAGTGTTAAATCCGCATAGCGATACATTTTATCGCTAAAATTTTGCCTCGCATAGTGCTAAAAAATTCGCTCAACGCGATTCATCCGAGACACGTCCATGCAGCCTGAGCCATTCAAGCATACAATCGGAACATTTCGTATTATTACAGCCTTTTTATAGTGATTTCACTTGAAAAATAAGTGACCATGGGCCCCAAGAAAGCTTCTAGTGCCAACCCTACAGGAATAAGGGTGAGAATTACTATGGAGATGAAGAAAGAGATCATTGCTAAGCATGAAAGTGGAGTGCGTGTCTCCGAGCTGGCCAGGTTGTATAGTAAACCCCAATCAACCATCGCTTTTATTGTGTCTGAGAGCAGCAATCAAGGAAGCTGTTCTTGCCAAAGGTTTAACTGTGCTTTCGAAACAGATCGCAAGTGATAGAAGATGTTGAGAGACTGTTATTGGTGTGGATAAACGAAAAACAGATAGCAGGCGATAGCATCTCTCAAGCGATCATAAGTGAAAAGGCTAGGAAGTTGCACGAGGATTTAATTAGAAAAATGCCTGCAAGTAGTGGTGATGCGAGTGAATTTAAGGCCAGCAAAGGTTGGTTTGAGAGACTTAAGAGGCGTAGTGGCATACATAGTGTGATAAGGCATGGCGAGGCTGCCAGTTCGGACCAAAAAGCAGCTGAAAAATATGTGCATGAATTCAAGGAGTACATAGACAGTGAAGGACTGAAACCTGAACAAGTGTTTGTGACAAAACAGGCCTGTTTTGGAAGAAAATGCCAAGCAGGACCTACATTACTCAGGAGGAAAAGGCACTCCCAGGACATAAGCCTATGAAAGACAGGCTTACTCTTCTCATGTGTGCCAATGCTAGTGGTGATTGCAAAGTGAAGCCTTTATTAGTGTATCACTCTGAAACTCCCAGAGCGTTCAGGCAAAAGAATATCCTCAAGGCTAATTTGTGTGTGCTGTGGAGGGCAAACAATAAGGCATGGGTCACTAGGGACTTTTTCTATGACTGGTTACACCAAGCATTTGCCCCCACTGTGAAAAATTACCTAACTGAAAAGAAATTAGACCTTAAGTGCCTCCTGGTGTTAGACAATGCCCCTGGTCATCCTACAGACTTGGCAGAGCGACTTTGTGGAGACATGAGCTTCATTAAGGTGAAGTTTTTTGCCTCCTAATACCACTCCTCTCCTGCAGCCCATGGACCAGCAGGTTATTGCAAACTTCAAAAAACTGTACACAAAAGCTCTGTTTGAAAGGTGCTTTGTAGTGACCTCAAACTCGATTGACTCTCTTAAGAGTTTTGGAGAGAGCACTTTAATATCCTCAATTGTGTAAACCTTATAGGTAAGGCTTGGGAGGGAGTGACTAAGAGGACCTTGAATTCTGCTTGGAAGAAACTGTGGCCAGAATGTGTAGACCAAAGGGATTTTGAAAGATTTGAGGCTAACCCTGAGAATCCTATGCCAGTTGAGGAATCAATTGTGGCATTGGGGAAGTCCTTGGGGTTGAAGGTTAGTGGGGAGGATGTGGAAGAGTTGGTGGAGGAGGACAATGAAGAACTAACCACTGATGAGCTGCTAGATCAACTTCAACAGCAAGAGGCCACACCTGAGGAAATTGCTTCGGAGGAGGGGAGAGAGAAATTGAAGAAGTTGCCTACTTCAAAGATTAAGGAAATCTGTGCAAAGTGGCTTGAAGTGCAAACCTTCATGGATGAAAATTGCCCTCAGACAGCTATTGCAAGCCGTGCTGGTGACTATTACACTGACACTGTTGTGAAACACTTTAGGAAAGTCATAAAGGAACGAGAGGTACAGGCCACTATGGACAGATATGTTGTGCGACAGAAGTCCAGTGACTCTGAAGCTGGTCCTAGTGGCATTAAAAGGAGGGAAGCAACCCAGGAAAAGGACTTGACACCTCAAGTCCTAATGGATGGGGATTCCCCTTCTAAACACTAAAACCATCCAGTCTCTCCTCCTCCCATCCCATCAATCATCACCACATCTTCAATAAAGGTAAGTGTCATGTAACTGTGCATGTTTTCTTAAGTTTGTGTGTATTAAAATTAATATTTCATGTGGTAAAAAAAATTTTTTCATACTTTTGGGTGTCTTGCACGGATTAATTTGATTTCCATTATTCTTATGGGGAAAATTAATTCGCATAACGATAATTTCGCATAACATTGAGCTCTCAGGAACGGATTAATGGCGTTATGCGGGGGTCCACTGTATAAAACAAATTCCAACTACACAATATAGTGTAAAACTAATGCTTTGAAAACTTTCAAGGTCCTCATTATCCATCCTAGGAGGCCAAGCCGATGATGACACTCTTCAGGTCACTTGTTCTATCTAGGCTAGAATATTGCTGCACACTAATAGCACCTTTCAAGGCAGATGAAATTGCTGACCTAGAAAATGTACAGAGAACCTTCATGGCACAAACTGCGATAACACTTTAATTACTGGGAATGCTTGAAGTTCCTCAACCTGTACCCCCTAGAATGCAGGTGGGAGAGGTACACAATTATATACACTTGAAAAGTCCTAGAGGGATTAGTACCAAACTTGCACACAAAAATCACTCCCTACGAAAGCAAAAGACTTGGCAAATGATGCAACATCCCCCAATGTAAAGCAGGGGCACCACTAGCACGATAAGAGACAACACACTAAGTGTCAGGGGCCCCAAGATTGTTCAGCTGCCTCCCAGCATACATAAAGGGGATTACCAGTAGACCCCTGGCTATCTTCAAGGTGCTGGACAGGCTCCTAAATTCAGTACCTGACCAGCCAGGCTGTGGTTTGTACATTGGGTTGTGTGCAACCAGCAGTAACAACCTGGTTGATCAGGCCCTGATCCACCATGAGGCCTGGTCACATACCGGGCCATGGGGGCATTGACCCCCAAAGCCCTCTCCAGGTATACTCAAGGTATTGGGGTCTTGTGTTAAGGGTTTACTCTTTTGAATACCAAATGAAAATTTATATAGTGAGTAATATAAAATTGACAGTACAGTACTGTAGTTTGTCCATGCACATCTGACAAGGCAATTTAAGTAATAACAAATGTTTCCGTTTGTTAGGGAAGTTTCTTGGTGAGACTTGCACTGTGGGGAAGGTTATTACTGATGTAAATGCAATTTTCATCACAATTTAGTATTTTAATGGGTTTTTTTTTTTTTTTTTTAACCCTTGGCTTTTATCCTTTTCGTGTTCAATTAATATTAAGTGGCAAAGAAAGCGAAACCAGTTATAACATTTTGCAAAAGACAGTTAGGTAAAACCAGCTTGTTAAATTTTTTTGGATGTATTTTATTCATAAAAAGTAAGTTAAAGGCAAATTAAATGTAGGCATTAACATAAAAAAATGGGTATTTCAATAGTTTCTTCTAGAACACTGATGCATAGAGCTGTATGGTTTGTAGACACAAGTTATGATGCATCTTATGGCACATTTTTATTTGTATATTTAAAATTTAACTTAAGGGTTAATCATAAAAACAAAACATAGAGGGTATTGCCTAGTACTCTTAAAATAATTACACAAATACAAAAAATTTTGGGTTGAATACAATAAGAAAATTTGCCAATGGCATTTAAATTTTGGATGGCAGATCCTTGCAAAGTTTCACAATTGTTATTTTTCCAGAAAGCTGGCGATGAGAACTATCCTGTTGGCCCATGGTTGCTTGGCCTTTTCATCTTTGTAGTATGTGGGTCAGGTAAGATAATGAAAGGTATTTAAATAGGTTAGCTTTAAAAAATGGAATAGTATCATTCCATTAGTCAACCATTGCTACTAGCATAAAATAATTTGAAGTTTAAAAACTTGTATACTTTCTCTGAGTAAGAATTTTGTTCTTATTTTCATTAAATATAAATCTTTCTTGATAGTGTATAGTACAGTATTGATGTTGAGTTTTCTATTTTTACAAAATAAAAAATGAGTAAGCATTAAGAACTGGATTTTTTGAAAGAAATTGTAACTTTTAACACTTCATTAGATCCTATTTCTAGGATCTAATGAAGTATTTAAAAGTTACTAGTAGCAAACTAACAGAGATAAATATTGATAGTGTTGGTTGCACACCAATATCAGTGTTGACGACCAACAGTCATCAACCATAGGGCTGCCCACGGTTACCCCCCCATACCCCCACTTCTCCCTCAATCCCTATAGTGGGTGAAAAAAAAATTCTTATGGATAATCTGACTACTGCCAGTACTAGTAACAGTTCAGATAAGATGATTATTTTGCTTGTTTTCATGTAATGTACAGTATAATCTTCAATGCAAATGGCAAGGGACTCTTGATCCAACGAATTGGACCTGATCTTGTATCAAGCCTTGTTGCCTCATGTTTAACAGGCACTTTGACCCCCCCCTTTGGTTTAGTGCTTCCCCATTATAATTCCTATGTGCCATTTTTAGTGCATCACTTAATTTTTTTTTTTTTTTTCAGCTGTGTTCCAAATTATACAGTCCATCAGAATGGGCTGATTGTCACACTGGGCATTTAAGCAGGTGGTGCGTCATATTGAACTTCTGTGCTCTCCTACCCTGATTGTTGGCTCCTGAAGTGTGAAATATTTAGACTCGGACATAAATACAGACCAGATAACGGATGGCTCTCTCACGGACACTTGACATTGGTGGCAGAATGCGCACATTCATCTTTATTCCTTTCCATTTAATGTTAAGTTATTTGGGTTAAAATGTTACTTCATTACTTTTAAGGGATTTATATTAAAAATATTTACTTTGGGATTTTTGCACTATTCCTTTGGTATCCACTATGTATATTTGTATATAAGGAATCTATATTTATATCAAAATAAAACCCCTAAAGCAATTGCAGTGGACTCCATAGCATAAATGATAGCAAATTTTACATGTTGCCAATAAAGTAATACAGGGGAACACTATTTAATTTTATCCTTTGGTGTACAATAACTTGTACTGCATAATGTAAATACATTTTACTTCGTAACTTTTTTGTATGCTAGACAAGCAAACAGTGGTTAACAGGAACCTACATACTCATTCAGATCTAACTTTTTAAAAACTAAATAAAAATAGTCATATCTCGCTTAAGAATTAGAACATTCTCAAAAAATAGGCCATGTCAAAAAAAAAAAAAAAATTAACCATGTCCCATTAACTAACGTTCATAGCAAAGTTCAGCTCCATCATTCTGTAACCCCCCTATTATGCTATAATACCCCTCGAGGGAGGTTCCTTGATGTTGGTGAGGGGCTCTTGATCTAGGGAATTGGATCTGTGCTTCGGTTCCCTGAATTGAGCTGGAATACCTTCCATTCCCCCCCCCCCCCCACAATGCACTGTATAATCTTACGGGTTTCGCTTCTCCCATAATGGGTATTATAGCATAATAGGGAAAGATCCTTAATGCTGGTGAGGCTCTTGATCCAAGGAATGGGACTTGCCCTCTCCTTGGATCAAACAAGAATGCTTCTCATTTCTCCCAGGCATTGTATGGCTCCTACAGGTTTAGTAACCCCCCATGAATGTAATGGGTTATATAGCTGACCCTTCAACATGGATTTGAACTGTATGGGATGACTTGTATGTAGATTTTTTCAATGAATATACAGCCTCTTCTCAGTGACGTACTCATTTACTGACCATCTGGACTTACAACCAGCTCTCCAAGAAGTGTGCAAACGTAAGTAATGTATATTAGAGCTGATTTCCTCTTTTCTCTCTATTACAGTACAGCCTCTCCTCACTTAACGACAGAGTTACATTCCTAAGACCTCGTCGGTAAACTAATTTATCGCTAAGTGAGGAGCATACTATAATGGTAGTGGGTTTGTCAATCATCTTTGATCTTGTTTTAATGTTACCTTTGCACTATTTATAATATTTCTGGTATACTTTTAAATGTTTATACAGTAGTGTACTGTAAATTGTAAAAGAGAGGAAATGAGCTCTAATATACATTATTTTTGTATGCATACTGGTCAAAGAGCCCATCGAAGTTGGAGTTGTTGGTAAACGAGTACGTCGCTAAGTGAGGAGAGGCTGTATACAGTACGGTATAAACGTTTAAACGTTTAAAAATATACTAAAAATGTTATAAATAGAACAAAGGTGACATTAAAAAAATATTTCTAAAGATGGTTGACACAAACCCAGTACAGTATGCTCCTCACTTAATAACCAATTTACTTACCAACTTACTCTTAGGAACGGAACTGTCATTAAGTAAGGCTAAGCTGGACTGAGCTGTATAGTCCTTGTGGCTTAGCGCTTCTTTGTGATTATAATAATAATTAATAATAAGCTGGACTGGAAAAAAGACTGTGTAGCCTAGAAATGTGGGAAAAATTAAGACTGGTATGTTATGAATACATAAAACATGTAAATAAGTCTGTTTCATTATTTACTATCATAATATATACACAAATCTATTATAAAAAAGTTATCAAAACTTGTACAATCTGCAAGTTTGTGTGCACAAGGTGTCATTTGCAGTAGAGAAATGGAAACAAACTTATCAAAACTCACCAGGGCCATACAGCATTGCAAGGTAGGGTGTGTGAAATTTGTAACATTCTTTATCTGAAACTAGCATTGGTGGAGAGTACAACAGATGAAAAGTTCGTAAGGGAGGTGAGGAGTGCAACTGAAGGTTGTAAAATAAATCTGTTGCTGTCAGGATGGGAATCTGTGTCAAAGATGGGGCCATCAGCTAGGAGGGAGGATAAAGTAAGGGTGTTAAAGCGGTGACAATGTCAGAGGTAAATTCTGCATGCTCGCTGATAAATGACAGTCCAACAGAATATGGCAAACAAAAATTGGAACCTGACAAATCTTGGTGGAATTGGGTGCCTCTGCTGTATAATCCTCCGGGTTTAGCGCTTCCCCCTTAATTATAATAATAATAATTGGGTGCCTCCCAATGAGACTTGCTCGATGCAAAGATGAGAAAGAGTAGTCTTCTGAGACCGATGATAAGATCAGGCTCCTAACCTCAGCTTGACAAAATGTAATTTATAAACTTGGACCAATGTTGCAAAGGTGGCCAGAGATTACAGCAAAATAGCCTGAGAAAGGAATATCTCTTATGAAACTGGAAGATCAAGTACTGCTGTGGGATTACACAAAAGAGGCTTCTGATATGGAAATAATGGGGAAGCTGTATAACCTTTGTTGGTTTAGGACTTCGTTATGATTACAATAATAATGGGAATGATAGACGAGAGACTTGGATAAAGCGAGTACATATCTGGATCACGTCGGGAATAAAACTTCAAGATGAGGATAGGAGATGAGTGCCTTCAGGCTGGTGAAGGACTCTTAATACAAAAAATTGGAGCTACTTTCCATTACCTTGGCCCTTTGAGGGAGGTGCTTTGAAACTGGACTTTTTATCCAAAGAATCAGAGTTATTCTCTGGATCAAACCTAATAGCACTTTGGGGAATGGGAGGTAGTATGACTTATGGGTTCAGCATTTCTCCTATGGATTATTATTATAATCAAAAAAGCGCTAAACCACAAGGGCTATACAGCGCTGCAGGGCAGGAAAGAAGCGAGGGTATCAGGTGGCAAAAGGGAGATGGATGAGTAACAGGTTACGGAGAACAGCGGGGCAGTGGATGGTGAAAGGGTAAAGGGCAGCAAGAGATTGAGGTAGAAAGGTATCGTCATCAGAGTTTGTGGAGTAAATCAGTCGTTGCCAAGAAGTCAATGAGAGAGTCAGGATTAAAGGAGGGTCCATCAGCAAGAAGGGAAGGTAGAGAGAGTAGTAGAGCGGAGACGACGATGGAGGTAAATTCTACGTGCTCGTTGATAGAGAGGGCAGTCTAACAATGTGGCTAATCGATACTGGAACTTGACACTGCTCACAGAGAGGAACAGGGTGCCTCTCCATGAGATACCCATGAGTAAGACGAGTGTGGCCAATGTGAAGGCGGGAGAGAGTAGTCTCCCAACCTCGGCACTGATGACAAGAAGACGGCCAGTAACCTATGCTCAGTTTAATAGAATGAAGTTTGTTACCGAGTAGAGTTGACCAACGTTGTTGCCAACGGGTGTGAAAATGGGTAGCTATTACAGCAAAATAGTCCATAAATGGAACACCTCTATATGAAATTGGTAGGTCATGTACTGCTGACCGCGCAGCAGTGTCTGCCTGTTCATTGCCCTGTACGTCAACATGACCAGGGACCCCAACAAAAACCTATCTTTATGCTTGGTAGAGATACGGCGTAGCCAAAGTTGGATACGAAGAACTAGGGGGTGAGGTGTATCAAATTTCTGTATAGCCTGTAGAGCACTAAGGGAGTCTGAGACAACCACAAATGATGACACAGGCATAGATGCGATACGTATAAGTGCTGCAATGGCATACAATTCAACAGTAAAAATGCTAGCCAAAGATAGTAAATGCCCTCGCACTACGCTGTCTGGAAACTGCTGCAAATCCAACGCCGTCAGAAGACTTAGAGCCATCTGTGTTCTCCCATGAAAAAAAAAAATCTATAAATTACATACTGCATATAAATTTCATACTGTATATAATTATATTCATTGGGAAGCACAAGAGGGTATACAGAGTCTGGGAAATAAGAAGGTTGGTATCATTGTTGAAGAGCCATTTTGTCTAGATGCACATCAGAAACCTGTACACAAATAACCCGCACATAAGAGAGGAGCTTACGACGACGTTTCGGTCCGACTTGGACCATTGACAAAGTCACTTTGTGTGACTTTGTCAATGGTCCAAGTCGGACCGAAACGTCGTCGTAAGCTTCTCTCTTATGTGCGGGTTATTTGTGTATCGTTCCAGTCACGGTATTTTGCCTTTGTTATTTATCAGAAACCTGGTTACTGAGAGTAACCTTCCATTAATTAATGTCATGGATACAAGAGACCCATCATGATAAAGTAGGTTACAATGAAGGGACATTAGTTCCTAAAGTAGTAACAGTATAATATTTCTTAAGAAAACTTATTTCCTTACTGAGGTACCTATACAGATATACTGATACTAGGGGTCTTGGACCAATCCACTTTGTTAAAGGTTACCCCACACTCAAACTATTTTTGTATTTTAAATTGCATAAACTCAAGGGAAATCAAACCAGTTTCATATTGTTGACTGTAGGAAAATACACAGTATATATTGGACCAGTAAAATTTGTACAGTTTACAGATTGTTACATTGCTGCTGTGGGTTCTGCAAAATCTGAACAAAAGATTTCACATCAACTAAAATTAAATGAGGAATGATAGAATTAAGCAATTAACTTTCATACAGGCTGAAGCTGATAAGGTCAACTAGTAAATGACAATATGGGAAGATCAATGCTTGAATGACATATGATTGGAAAAAATAGGGTCAAATATTTATTATGAGCTATGTAAAACATAAAAGTAACTATGTTAAGAATTTATAACAATTTCTTCTACAGGTAGAATATACAAACTTGCTATGAAATTTACTTACAGAAACTACTTCAACAACTGCTAATATTAACTGCAAATGCATTCTGACAAGAGACTATAAACACTAATGCACAATCAAAACCAACAAACTATGAGGAAATGAAATTTGTATTATGGTTCTGCAGCACCATTCAAAATGATGATAATCCACAGTAAGTAGAGCCTCAGCAATGATGTAACAAATGTACCCAAGATCAGATCTTATCTCTCAACATCAACAGTAGTAACAGCAGTGAGGTAGTTATGGGCAGTAAGGGAAGTATGTAGTAGTTGTCCCCCTCCTCCATTACTACCCATTCCTCCATTTGTACTTCCACTACACTGAACCTGGCACACTTCATTTAGCTCCCATCCAGGCCCTCCATCACTGTGAATATAAATAACGAGTTGTTATTGTTTTCTTTTCAACTGTCCATCATTATCAATTATATCTACGTATATTGTCAACTAATGTAAAACATAGTACCCTATAAATTCACAAGACTATAACCCAACTAATTTTTTCTTATGTACAATTATTATAATCAAAACTAAGTGCTAAACCCACAAGGGTCATGCAAAGCTGCAGGGTAGGGTACACGAACTGTAACATGCATGATCTGAAACTAGCAAGGGTGAAGAATATAACAAAGGTAGAGTTAGTAAGGGCAGTGAGGAATGTTAAAGGAAGTACAATCAAAGGGTGTGTAATAAATCTGTTGCAGTTAAAAAGTTAGAGGGAGTCTTGTGTCAAAGGTGGGGTCATCAGCAAGGAGGGAAGATAAAGTAAAGGTGGTAGAGCAGTGATGACGTCGGAGGTAAATTCTGCATGCTCGCTGGTAAATAGGACAGTCCAACAGAATATGGCAAACTGAAATTGAAACCTTTACAATTCTCACAGAATGGAACTGGACATCTCTCCGTGAGATACCCACGAGTGAGATGTGTGTGCCCGATGCGAAGATGGGGAAGTGTAGTCTCCCAACCATGACATCAATGATAAGACCAGGATCCTAAACTCAACTTGATAGAATATAATTTGTTATGAATCAACTCAGACCAACATTGTTGCCAATGATTGCAAAGGTGGTTAGAGATTATAGCAAAATAGCCAGAGAATGGAATACCTCTATATGAAACTGGAAGGTCGTGTACCACTGACCAAGCAGCAGGTTCTGCCTGTTCATTGCCCTGAACATCAACATGACCAGGGACCCAGCAGAAAACGATTTCTTTATTTTTGCTAGAAATGCAGTGTAACCAAAGTTGTATACGAAGAACTAGGGGATGAGCTGAATTAAATTTTTTTGATAGCTTGCAAAGCACTAGAGGAGTCTGAGACTACCACAAATGTTGAGGCAGGTCTGGATGCAATGTGTATAAATGCTATGAGAACTGCACATGGTTCAGCTGTGAAAATGCTAGCCGAGTCTAGTAAATGACCTCGCACAACACAGTCCGGGAACACTGCTACCAATCATGTAGTCTTAAGTTAGATTTAAGCTTGCCCAGAATGCTCTGCATAATCATGGGCTTTCAACATCCACGCAAGTGTCACCCATTTCTGTATAAACAACGTAGCATGTTGAAATAAACTTTCTTCTTTCAACACACCGGCTGTATCCCACCGAGGCGGGGTGGGATACAGCCGGTGTGTTACTAGCCCCTTGCTCCCGGCATTTTAGTCGCCTCTTACAACACGCATGGCTTACGGAGGAAGAATTCTGTTCCACTTCCCCATGGAGATAAGAGGAAATAAACAAGAATAAGAACTAGATGGAAAATAGAAGAAAACCCAGAGGGGTGTGTATATATATGCTTGTACATGTATGTGTAGTGTGACCTAAGTGTAAGTAGAAGTAGCAAGACGTACCTGAAATCTTGCATGCTCATGAGACAGAAAAAAGGACACCAGCAATCCTACCATCATGTAAAACAATTACAGGCTTTCGTTTTACACTCACTTGGCAGGACGGTAGTACCTCCCTGGGCGGTTGCTGTCTACCAACCTACTACCTAGTGAAATAAACTTGTATTCGTATATTACATCTCTGTTAATTTAAAAACTTTAAGAAATGAGGATGATAAACACACCAGTTGTGGGTTAATGGACAATGAAGCTTAACATAAATTACATTATACATTGGGAAGCACCAAACCCAAAGGGGTCATACCGAGTTTGGTGAATAGGAGGAAAGTAGAATTGACTCAAGGAAATGGAGAGTACAGTAATTTTAATTCCTTGGATCAAGAGCTCTTCACCAGCATCAAGGCATCTCTTTGGAGGGCACAGATGGTATAGGTTCCAGAGGGGTAAAAAAAAGGCCATTTATGCAATTACAGTATAATATGAAAAGGCACAGTTCTTGATTTGGAGAAGTTTCATAATAAATACTACTACAGTACTATGGATTTAAAGAAGTGTTTAATAATACTAAGTAAAAAATAATGGTTTAAGGAAGAGGAAACCATATAATCAAGAGATACAATAATTATTAGCTTAGGGAAAAATGAACATAGTAAAAAGAAGCTCAGGTATGGGTTTTGGGAAGAGCACAAGCATGCATTTTGGGAAGAGTACAATGACGTAGTGGAGGCAGGAACCATACACAGTTTTAAGACGAGGTTTGATAAAGCTCATGGAGCGGGGAGAGAGAGGGCCTAGTAGCAACCGGTGAAGAGGCGGGGCCAGGAGCTAGGACTCGACCCCTGCAACCACAAATAGGTGAGTACAAGCATGCATTTTGGGAAGAGCACAAGCATGCATTTTGGGAAGAGCACAAGCATGCATTTTGGGAAGAGCACAAGCATGCATTTTGGGAGGAGCACAAGCATGCATTTTGGGAAGAGCACAAGCATGCATTTTGGGAAGAGCACAAGCATGCATTTTGGGAAGAGCACAAGCATGCATTTTGGGAAGAGCACAAGCATGCATTTTGGGAAGAGCACAGATGTAGGTTTAAGGGAGGTAAGAGGTATGGGCTTTATACTGGGAGCTTGTCTTCAAATTTCTCTTCCAATGTGAATCTGATTGATGGATCTACTGGATCAACATCTTCCTGTAGTTTCTAGACGTCATTACATCTGAGTGTGATCAATATGTTATTTGAATACGTAACACAGCCAAGTGATGTTGTTTGGAATAATGCTAGACTATCTGCTTCAAAGTGTCCCATAAACAGGTTAGCAAGTACACTAGTGATACAGTTTACATTAGAGAGATTTTGAGGTGTTAGGACACAAGAGCCAGTGAACACAGGGATGCATGTATGAGAGACAACATGGTTAATACAGACAGTATATGTAAGAGCTCACACAGCCACAGTATGAATTGTAATGACATCGAAATGATGATGAAGGAAGAACAGCTTTAAAAATGCTGATGGCTAGGAGCTGGGCAGTCATGGTGAGGACATCAGGATGGTCAGGCACTGACTTTAGGTGCCTGTCCAGCTCCCTCTTGAAGACAGCCATGAGTCTATTGGTAATCCCCCTTATCTATGCTAAGAGACAGCTGAACAATCCTGGGCCCCTGACACTTATTGTGTTGTCTCTTAGCATACTCATGACACCCCCGCTTTTCACTAGGAGCCCCTTAAGGGAGGTTCTTTGATACTGGTGAGGGGTTGTTGATCTAGGGAATTGGATCTGTACTCCAGTTCCATGAATTGTGCTGAATACCTTCCCCCTCCCCTCCCACATGCACTGTATAATCCCTACGAGTTTAGTGTTCCCCATGATTATAATAATAATAATAATAATAATTATAATTTTCACTAGGGGATGTTGGGGGGATGAAGCATATTCACCAACATTCATTATATAGTGGTCTTGCCACATATGCATAGGCATCATAATTCAACATGCTTTATAAAATATTTTCTTTTTTTTTAAATAAATACTAAACTCATATCGGAGCACATTTTAATAAGGTGAAGAAGTGAGAAGCATGGATCATGGCACTAAATATACCACGTATGAATGTAAAAAGCTCATATTTACCCTGCATGTGTTTGTCCAAGATGGCTGGTGCGCACACAGCCATCACTGGAGGCAGAGACTAAGAGAGCAGAGTCAGCAGACCAGCACAGGCCTACTATGGAGTCTACATGTGGTGAAATTTCTGTATTCCCATTGCCAGCCTGGTTTCCAGTACTCAGTTCGGCCATCACCCGCCCACCAGCAAGATCCCACACTACAACAGCACCATCATCACTTCCTGAAGCTAGGTACCTGGTTTGTCAGAAGGAATAAAATAATTTTTTTTTTTTTTCAACAAGTTGGCCGTAATACAAGAAATACAATACTGTGAAAAATAATTAAACTGAATGTAGATCTTATAGGAAGATTTAGATAAATTGAGCAACTGGAGTAACTGGTTTAAGAGGAAATTGAACATTACTAAGAAACTCGGACACAAAATGAGAGAAAGCAAAAACAGGCCACACAAGGAGAACATAGCATACAGTATTTTAAAACAATGAAACTGTTAGACAAAGAGAGAATACTGTGAGTAAATATAAAGAAAAGACTACTACTAGATCACAAACCTCACTGCAAGAAACTCTCATAATGTACTGTCCTAGAAACAGGCCTGCTGCAGTGTTCCTCCTTTATGTTCTTATGTTCTTAAACCTTTAAAATAACTATCAAATATGGGAGAATGAAATGCTAAGTAAAAAATCTGTGTTCAGTGCAAATGTTAAACCAAAATTGGAATATGCAGCAACAACATTGTGGTGATCCTACATAACAAATGTAGATAAAAGAGAAATGATACAAAAACATAACAAAACGACTCCTGGAGCTTAAAATTATGAACTGCATAGACTTAAAAACACTAAAAATGCACATGTTGGGTAATAGAAGAAAAAGATGAAACATGATAACTACATATCTTTCTTCTTTCTTTCAACAAACTAGTTATATCCCACCGAAGTTGGGTGGCCCAAAAAGAAAAACAAAAGTTACTCTTTATAACTTTAGTAATGTATACAGGAGAAGGGGTTACTAGCCCCTTGTTCCCGGCATTTTAGTTGTCTCTTACGACACGCATGGCTTACGGAGGAAGAATTCTGTTCCACTTTCCCATGGAGAATAGTTACTTTTTTTTTTTTTTAAAAAGTCGGCTGTCTCCCACTGAGGCAGGGTGACCCAAAAAAGAAAGAAAATCCTCAAAAAGAAAATACTTTCATCATCATTCAACACTTTCACCTAACTCACCCATAATCAATGTTTTTGCAGAGGTGCTCAGAATACAACAGTTTAGAAGCATATACGTATAAAGATACACAACATATTCCTCCAAACTGCCAATATCCCAAACCCCTCCTTTAAAGTGCAGGCATTGTACTTCCCATTTCCAGGACTCGAGTCCGGCTATATAAAAATAATCGGTTTCCCTGAATAACTACATATATAATCATAAAAAGATACAAAAAAAAAATTATAATGCAATAAATTTTTTGACTCCATCAACAGGATAAGAAAAGGGCAAAATTGTACATTGCATGAAAAAAAAAGAAAAGAAAGACAAATAATTAACAAAAAAGGACACAATACCGTGACTGGAACGATACACAAATAACCCGCACATAAAAGAGAGAAGCTTACGACGACGTTTCGGTCCGACTTGGACCATTGACAGAGTCACACTGACTCTGTCAATGGTCCAAGTTGGACCGAAACGTCGTCGTAAGCTTCTCTCTTTTATGTGCGGGTTATTTGTGTAAAGAAAGACAATATAATTTTTTCACAAATATAGTTATGGACTGCTGGAATGAGATGCAAGAGAACAAGTAAATTCTGCAACTTCTGGAAGTTTTAAGAAATTATGATAAACTAAACCCTGGATATGGGACACTGAACATAGCTCTATTTTTACAAGTACAAACTGATAAATTACATACACATTCACCTTGGTAAAGGTGCCACCTGAAGACAAAGGCCAATGAAAGTACAGTGGACCCCCGCATAACGATTACCTCCGAATGCGACCAATTATGTAAGTGTATTCATGTAAGTGCATTTGTACGTGTATGTTTGGGGGTCTGAAATGGACTAATCTATTTCACAATATTTCTTATGGGAACAAATTCGGTCAGTACTGGCACCTGAACATACTTCTGGAGTGAAAAAATATCGTTAACCGGGGGTCCACTGTATACAAGAAACCATGGAAAAAAATATGGAAATGTATCACAGTGAAAAATTACCAAAACAAAAATACTCGCACATCTTTGTTTACACACATCTCTGAAAATGTGTAAATGCACAATAGCCCTTACTGTTTCATTTCAGTATTTTTTCAAAAGGAAACACATATCATTAAGAATTTGTTTTAAAATATTGTGAATTCTCTTAATAAATACAGAACTGCATAGGGACTTTTGTAACTTACTTTCCATTTGGGGCAAATGCTACAGCACTGATGGCAGATTTATGATGGAGAAGAATTCGTGCTGCATCCCCATCTGTTATCTGCCATAGCCTAACTGTTCGATCACAAGATCCACTAGCCACATATGTACCATTAGGGTGAAAAGCTACACAATCCACTGCTTGAGTGTGACCTGCCATGGTGCGTAACGGATATGTGCAGTCCGTGGCCCATATTTTTACTGTACTATCGTACGAACCAGTAGCTACATACATGGTAAGTGGAGCAACTGCCACACACCACACAGGATAGTTGTGTCCTCTGTAAAGAGCAACTGCCTGACCACTTTCCAAATTCCAAAGGCGCATAGTTGTGTCTTCACTGACAGACAGAAGATGAGTTGAATCATGGGTATAAGCAGTGTCAAGAACTGGTCCACGATGTCCTCTTAGAGCAAAGAGCTCACCTCCACGGTTTCTTCTTCTTCCACCATTTCTTGAATCTGCCATCATTTCCTCTTCTTCCTCTTCCCTACCATCGCCATCATCCTCAATACGTGAATTGTCACATGCTAAAAGGGTGTGAGATATTCCACCTCTGGGCCCTACTACCGTGGTAGCTTTTCTAAACCCTACATTATGTACCGGAGGAGTTAACTTCCACAATTTAATAACACTATCTTCAAATCCACATGACAACAATTTGCCTTCTGCATTAACACTCGCACAACTCAAGCCATTATAGGCATTAGAAACAGTGTATACACACAGTGATGGAGGGGCAGGGTGAGCTAATCTTATACGAGCCATCACATCTTTCACTTTTTGTAGCTCCTCCTGAGTACAGTCCAACCCATCTGCTGTAGCTATTGCTGAATCTGAGGACATAGACTCTGGTGTGTGACCATTTACCAAAGCATTTGATAAAGCAGAATTTAATTCTGGGCTGCGGAAAACTGCCCCTGAACTGCCAGCACCAGAGTCATCCACTTCCACTTCTATATAGGTATTGAAAATCTGAAAGAATAATTTACTTTTTAAGAGACAGCAAACTTGATTACACTCTCATAATCATTCCTTCTCAAGCTTAAGTGAGCAATTCAAAATGTTTTAGTTAAAATAATACAGTGGTAATGATACTCATACACTTTCTCATTCAAAATATTCTTTCATGCTATTTCAGAAGCCTAAAAGTTTGAGCTTAACATCATAACATTTTCACCATACAGACACTCTCAGTTTGATACAGAGTTTGTCACATACTAATCACATATTCTCCTACTACAGAATACAGAACAGAATATTACTTCAGAGCAGAAATTATTAATTTACATTGGGGTGAAAAATCATAATCAATTAATCACTTCTGAGATTAGTGAGTTTCAACATCAATTTCTGCATGACTTATTAAGGACAATATTATTACCTACAGTAGTTTAGTTATTTTTTTTTTTTTAACAAGTTGGCCATCTCCCACTGAGGCAGGGTGACCCAAAAAAGAAAGAAAATCCCCAAAAAGAAAATACTTTCATCATCATTCAACACTTTCACCACACTCACACATTATCACTGTTTTTGCAGAGGTGCTCAGAATACAACAGTTTAGAAGCATATACTTATAAAGATACACAACATACCCCTCCAAACTGCCAATATCCCAAACCCCTCCTTTAAAGTGCAGGCATTGTACTTCCCATTTCCAGGACTCAAGTCCGACTATATGAAAATAACCGGTTTCCCTGAATCCTTTCACTAAATATTACCCTGCTCACACTCCAACAGATCGTCAGGTCCCAAGTACCATTTGTCTCCATTCACTCCTATCTAACACGCTCACGCACGCTTGCTGGAAGTCCAAGCCCCTTGCCCACAAAACCTCCTTTACCCCCTCTCTCCAACCCTTTCGAGGACAACCCGTACCCCGCCTTCCTTCCCCTATAGATTTATATGCTTTCCATGTCATTCTACTTTGATCCATTCTCTCTAAATGACCAAACCACCTCAACAACCCCTCTTCTGCCCTCTGACTAATGCTTTTATAAACTCCATACCTTTTCCTAATTTCCACACTCCGAATTTTCTGCATAATATTTACACCACACAAAAATATATAGTATAAAATACATAACATTTTCTATATCTGATAAATAACCAAATCTACAAGGGGGTACCATACCTACCTACACCTGACTTCTTACAATAAATACTACTCACCTTTTGCCCAACATTAAGACTACAAATATTTTGAGGTAAATAATGAGTGTACTGTGTGTGTATTTTACTTTTTATTGTTTTTTAACCCTCAAACTGTCCAAATGTACACCTATGTCCATGTGCTTAGCGCTCTGATTGTAGATCTACGTTTTTTTACATAAGAAAGCATATAAAATCAGACGTAGATCTATGTCCGGAGCGCTACACACATGGACGTAGATCTACGTTTGGACAGTTTAAGGGTTAATGCCTAGTTCTATTGCTAACTTAATATGTGTTAGTGTAAACTTGTTATCTGGCATTTATATGCATTTATAAGTGGAAAAAATAGCGTTCTGCTTTCCGGCAATGTCTGCTTTCTGGAGGTAGCCTGGAACCTAACCTGCCATATAAGTGGGGCCCTACTGTATTTGTACTGTACATGAATAGAGAAAATTTTTGAAAAAAGCTTGTGGTAGAATAAAAAGTAAAATGCAGTTAATTATATGATTTCATGTCTAGTCAGATCAGTTCTCATTAGTACTCACTGTTAAATTCCTTTATTTTTCTTAAATTAAACAATTTAATTATTTCACAGACTCTATAAAAATTTGATAAGTGGTTAGTCATTCTTTAGCTTTGATTGTTTATAAGTTATTCTAGGTTAAGTAATTTTACAATGTCCATTTTTAAGTCAATAAGGACTCTATAGTGTTTACTGTATATATTACAAATGGACGTGTTATTACAGTACTTAACGTTTACTATAGCACTGTACTGTACATATATATTTATGTAAATCTTTGAAAGCATGAATTTCAAAAATACTTCTAAATAATAAGAGCATTACCTACTAAGTTTCAGTTTAATCGTTTACTGTCAGATTGGTAACACTGAAGAAAAAGACTGGTAAAAACATACAGTTTGACGAGATGACAAAATCCCTTAAACTTAACTGGCAAGAATTTACAAACATGTACTACTGTCTTTCTATTTATAAAACTGACATGGGATTTAAAAGTTATTAAAACAATAAGCATCAACAAAACTCACTTGCAATAAAATTGGGTTTTCTGTAGCTTTGAGGTATCGCAAGAAGTAATTCAGAGTCAGTTCACTCAAACGCACCAGGTATTTACCACTTCTGCCAGAAAATAGTGTTTATAGTTAGAGAACATAAACTAGATGTACTTCAGTCATAGTGTGGTCTGAAAAAGGTATCCCCACATTCCATAACCCCAATCCCCTGTACCTTAAAGCACACAATTGTTAAAGTGCAGAGTGAAGCTTAAGTTGACATTAGCTTTGAAGATTTGACAGGAATACGAAGAGGCATTCACAAGTTATTGTAGAGAAACTAATAACAAATATCTTCAATAAAATGATATATTAGGATATACACGGCCCAAATTTAATAAAAAGAAAAAATACTCATATTCTAAAATACACATTAAGCTTGAAGCTGTTCAGATGTTGCATTATCAAGTTATCAGCATGGAAGGGTTGAAGCTAATCAGATGCAACACTCAGAAATTATCGCATAAATAGCAGTACAGTATTTCAAATTTTCAAATTTCTTCCTAAACAGCAAACTGGGACCTACACATGTCAAAATCAATCCAAACTTTCCTCTAAACAAGACTAACCAGTTTGTAAGTAAGCAAATAAGCAACATAGCCAGGTAACTAACTAGCTAGCATCAACAATATTTTGAAACCAATCAGAAGCATTCTTTAGTTATTGAATAAAAATTAATATCACCACTTATTAAATAAAACTAATAAGTTGGGACTTATAACACCCAACAGCAACATGAGTTTTGTGTTTAGGAGACCACACCACCAGTGGTGAAAATTTGAAGCTGATCAGATGAATCATTCTCCAGTTACGGCATGGATTCCAACAACTCCAAGTTTTTTACTGTTTTACTGCATCAATAAATCTGCCTGCATGCAAGCAAAAGTTACTGGGTACTATCTGGCCCTCAGATGTATCTGCCATTAAAAACTGAAGTGTTGGAAACACACTGAAATTTATTTAACATGATTTAATGGGAATAAAAATATCACATTATTTTACACAAAATGCTCAAATCTGCACCTAAACTCTTGAATTTCACTCTCCATTATTTTTAACATTTGAAGGTCTGCCATTGAGAATTTTGGAAGTTATGCAAGCCATTCCAGGATGCTGGGAATGGGATCAGCAACTCTGGTTATAGGGAATGCGAATATGACAAATGTTCAAAGGATCTGGTCCCCGTAATTGCACACAAGCATTGAAAATTTGAAGCAAATTAGATGAGGCATTCTAGAATTATGAGCAAAATAAAATTGAAAAGTTGGAGGAAGAAAAAAAAAAAGAAAAAAAAACTTGTAGCAACCTCTTAAAAAGTTTCACTGGGAATACCTAATAAGAAGAAATTTAATATAATAAATTTACCAGTAACTGAAAGAATACTGGAAAAACATTCTAAATGAATTACCAGTAATAATAATAAATTATATGCTAATAAATCCTAGGTAGTAGGTTGGTAGACAGCAACCGCCCAGGGAGGTACTACCATCCTGCCAAGTGAGTGTAAAACGAAAGCCTGTAATTGTTTTATATGATGGTAGGATTGCTGGTGTCCTTTTTTTCTGTCTCATGAACATGCAAGATTTCAGGTACGTCTTGCTCCTTCTACTTACACTTAGGTCACACTACACATACATGTACAAACGTATATATACACACACACCTCTGGGTTTTCTTCTATTTTCTTTCTAGTTCTTGTTTATTTCCTCTTATCTCCATGGGAAAGTGGAACAGAATTCTTCCTCCTTAAGCCATGCATGTTGCAAGAGGTGACTAAAATGCTGGGAGCAAGGGCCTACTAACCCCTTCTCCTGTATAAATTACTAGATTTAAAAAGAGAGACTTTCGTTTTTCTTTTTGGGCCACCCTGCCTTGGTGGGATGCGGCTGGTTTGTCGGAAAAAAAAAATGCTAATAAATAAATTGCTGTAAATATTTAACAGTTTAGGCACAGTTCTCACTAGTATTAAAATCATACACTGGGTAGGCATCCCTCAGACCAATTAACTCAGATGAAATCAGCCTATGAGGTTATCTCAGTGTCCCTAAATGAATTTTATTTCTGTGCTTAAGGCTTTCAAGGTATCCAAAACTATTCAATTCATCAATGTTCCAGGTTGTATAATAGTGAATAGTTTACCATGAAACTACGAATATAGGATGGTGGAAAAATGAGCTTTGTGAACAAACTGAAAATTAAAAAATCAACAACTTACTTGAGATTCTGAATGATAGGAGAGGAGTTCATATCACCAGATGCATTGATGTTAGCTGCATTTAGCACCTGTGATAGAGTATTTTCATAGTCCCGATTCACCAGGAATACCTGCGAAGAATAATACGACTATCAAATGAAAACTAAACATTGAATATACATTAACTTAGGGTGGTTTGTTATATTTTTAACTTCCCTTTTCAGTGTGGTAATAATACTGTAAAGCAGAGGTGAATAAAGTACTGCATTCATAAATTTATTTGTATGGTGTTTGCAATTTCTGTGAATAAATAAATGGAGAAAGATATGATTCATCAGTTTATGTCCCCATTCATTCTTATAGTTTCTCCAATAAAATTTATAAATGTCAGATTTCAAATTTGCGTCATGTCAGCCTTCACTAATATCTCACTCTTCTGATCATTTTTCAGAGACAAAATAAAACAAACCTATTACAAATACAATAAATATTATTACTACATTCATGGGGAAGTGCTAAGCCCATAAGGGTCATAGAGCACCTGGGGAATGGGAGGTAATCAGGTTAGATTCGAGGAAGAGCAGAATAACCCCAATTCCTTGGATCAAGGGTCCTTTACTAGCATCAAAGAACCCTCCAGTGAAGAGAAAACTACAATGCTACAATATAGTAAACAGTAAACAATATGAAGAAGAAATACAGTGGACCCCCGCATAACGATTACCTCCGAATGCGACCAATTATGTAAGTGTATTTATGTAAGTGCGTTTGTATGTGTATGTTTGGGGGTCTGAAATGGACTAATCTACTTCACAATATTTCTTATGGGAACAAATTCGGTCAGTACTGGCACCTGAACATACTTCTGGAGTGAAAAAATATCGTTAACCGGGGGTCCACTGTACTTCGAAGGCTATTTTCTGATAAAGTCAGTATCACAAGCTTTCTTTTTTGTGCAGTGGAAGTTTGAACCTGGCAAAGGATAAGGTAACTTTCTTAGGAAATGTAGTATTAAACCACCTGAAATTTTTTTTTTTTTTTTTTCAACAAGTTGGTCGTCTCCCACCGAGGCAGGGTGACCCAAAAAAGAAAGAAAATCCCCAAAAAGAAAATACTTTCATCATCATTCAACACTTTCACCACACTCACACATTATCACTGCTTTTGCAGAGGTGCTCAGAATACAACAGTTTAGAAGCATATACGTATAAAGATACACAACATATCCCTCCAAACTGCCAATATCTCAAACCCCTCCTTTAAAGTGCAGGCATTGTACTTCCCATTTCCAGGACTCAAGTCCGACTATAAGAAAATAACCGGTTTCCCTGAATCCCTTCACTAAATATTACCCTGCTCACACTCCAACAGATCGTCAGGTCCCAAGTATCATTCGTCTCCATTCACTCCTATCTAACATGCTCATGCACGCTTGCTGGAAGTCCAAGCCCCTCGCCCACGAAACCTCCTTTACCCCTCTTTCCAACCCTTTTGAGGACGACCCTACCCCTCTTTCCTTCCCCTATAGATTTATATGCTTTCCATGTCATTCTACTTTGATCCATTCTCTCTAAATGACCAAACCACCTCAACAACCCCTCTTCTGCCCTCTGACTAATGCTTTTATTAACTCCACACCTTCTCCTAATTTCCACACTCCGAATTTTCTGCATAATATTTACACCACACATTGCCCTTAGACAGGACATCTCCACTGCCTCCAACCGTCTCCTCGCTGCTGCATTTACCACCCAAGCTTCACATCCATATAAGAGTGTTGGTACTACTATACTTTCATACATTCCCTTCTTTGCCTCCATAGATAATGTATTTTGACTCCACATATACCTCAACGCACCACTCACCTTTTTTCCCTCATCAATTCTATGATTAACCTCATCCTTCATAAATCCATCCGCCGACACGTCAACTCCCAAGTATCTGAAAACATTCACTTCTTCCATACTCCTCCTCCCCAATTTGATATCCAATTTTTCTTTATCTAAATCATTTGATACCCTCATCACCTTACTCTTTTCTATGTTCACTTTCAACTTTCTACCTTTACACACATTCTCAAACTCATCCACTAACCTTTGCAATTTTTCTTTAGAATCTCCCATAAGCACAGTATCATCAGCAAAAAGTAACTGTGTCAATTCCCAGTTTGAATTTGATTCACCATAATTTAATTCCACCCCTCTCTCGAACACCCTAGCATTTACTTCTTTTACAACCCCATCTATAAATATATTAAACAACCATGGTGACATTACACATCCCTGTCTAAGACCTACTTTTACTGGGAAGTATTCTCCCTCTCTTCTACACACCCTAACACCTGAAAATATGGACAGCAAAATGCAGGACTTCTTTACAACACAAAAGTGAGAATCGCAAAGATCTTGCACTCTCATGTGATGCAGCAAAACAAAGAACTACACTGCATGTAAGAACCTCTATCTTTCTGAACTTTTCCAATTTTAATTGAAGTGCTGAAAAATAAGAAGTTTAAACATTTTTGAATACCAGATTCTTAGTACTATATATAATATGGCACATTTATCCACTACTGTATTGATTTCTAGTTGTTGTTTTTTTATTAACAAGTCGGCCGTCTCCCACCGAGGCAGGGTGACACAAAAAAGAAAGAAAATCCCTAAAAAGAAAATACTTTCATCATCATTCAACACTTTCACCACACTCACACATTATCACTGCTTTTGCAGAACATAAGAACATAAGAACGAAGGAACACTGCAACAGGCCTACTGGCCCATGCGAGGCAGGTCCAAATCTCCTACCGGCTTAAGCCAATGCACCCAACCTAGTCAGGTCAGGTCACATTGACTTAAAGGAGGAACACGGCAACCGACCTGGTAGCACAAGCTATCAGGTCCAACTCACACCCACCCACATCCACTCATGTATTTATCCAACCTATTTTTAAAGCTACACAACGTTCTGGCCTCTATAACTGTACTCGGGAGTTTGTTCCACTCATCCACAACTCTATTACCAAACCAGTACTTTCCTATATCCTTCCTGAATCTGAATTTTTCCAACTTAAAACCATTGCTGCGAGTCCTGTCTAGGCTAGATATTTTCAGCACACTATTTACATCCCCTTTATTTATTCCTGTCTTCCATTTTATACACCTCAATCATATCCCCCCTAATTCTACGTCTTTCTAGAGAGTGCAGATTCAGGGCCCTTAGTCTATCCTCATAGGGAAGGTTTCTGATACATGGGATCAACTTTGTCATCCTCCTTTGTACATTTTCCAGAGAATTTATATCCATTCTGTAATACGGTGACCAAAACTGTGCAGCATAATCTAAATGAGGCCTAACCAAGGATGTATAGAGTTGAAGAACAACCTGAGGACTCCTATTATTTATGCTTCTTGATATGAAGCCAAGGATTCTATTAGCTTTATTGCGAACACTTATGCACTGTTGTCTTGGTTTCAGATTACTGCTAACCAGAACTCCTAAATCTTTTTCGCAATCCGTAATATTAAGATCTACATTATTTAGTTTATATGTGGCATGGTTATTGTCCTGTCCAACATTTAGAACTTTGCATTTGTCTATATTAAACTGCATCTGCCACTTCTCCGACCACTGCATCAGTCTATTCAAATCTTCCTGGAGTGCTCGAATGTCCTCGTCAGAATGAATTCGACGGCCTATTTTGGTGTCATCAGAATACAACAGTTTAGAAGCATATACGTATAAAGATACACAACATATCCCTCCAAACTGCCAATATCCCAAACCCCTCCTTTAAAGTGCAGGCATTGTACTTCCCATTTCCAGGACTCAAGTCCAACTATATGAAAATAACCGGTTTCCCTGAATCCCTTCACTAAATATTACCCTGCTCACACTCCAACAGATCGTCAGGTCCCAAGTATCATTCATCTCCATTCACTCCTAACACGCTCATGCACGACTGGTAAGCCAGCCACCTCCATGTAGTAAGTTCTAGGTATTTTGGATGACTAGTTAATCAGTGTTGCAAAACAACTAGGAGCTGCTCACAATATGTATATATTGTCTGTCTGCTCTGAGTCCTGGCAGTGGGAAATAGTGCCTGCACTCTGGAGGAGGGATGGGGATGTTGCAATTCAGGTGGTCACTTGAACTGTGTTATCCACTTACTACTGGTAAGAAAACTACTGAATGAATAATGGTGAATGTGTTTTTTTGTGTGTGTCGCTACTTTAGAAGGAGACAAATGATGTAGTGTAAGGGGGAAAAAATGTACGTGACGAATGTTGAGGTTAAAACCATATCAAATTTTTTGTGGTAAGGACAATAAGAGATATGTTCTCAAAAACATGCCACCATTAGATTTATAAATGAGCAAAATATTTAAGATTCATGATACTCAGATTTAAAACCCAGTGGATAGAAGCAATCTAACCTGGTAGTGCTTTACAAAAAACTTCTTAGCTGCTTGCCGCCCTGTGCCAGCCACCAGCTCCAGGTAAAGATGAATGAATAGAGGAAACAGCACTTGTGACAACTCTGATCGACAGGGTTCACTTGCCTCCATCATCCATGACTTAAGCCTTAACAAAACAGATTGATATGTTAGTGTAAACCATCTGAGAAAAATTTAGCATAAAAGATACAGTATACACAGACAGAAACCACTACCGAAAGTTGCAAATGAAATAACATACAATGTAGTATTGTACAGTTGATCCCCCAAAGCTGTAATTCAGAGATTCGATTATACTGCACAAGATGTTTACTGAAGGGCATCTTGAGAATAGCCTTGATTAAACTTAAGGTTCTGGAGGTTACTTTTTATGGTGGGGGCAGAACCTTGGTGCATAAAATGTGATCAATGGCTTTCCAACATCTGTCTGGACACTGTTTCTTATGAATATGAACATTAACTATATTAGAGCACCATACAAAGATATACAGTGGACCCTCGAGTTTCGGCAGCATCGACTTTCGTGAAATCCAACTTTCGGCAAGTTTTTTCGGCAAAATTTGGCCTCACAGTTCATGATTAGACTCGTGATTCGGTGACCGTCTGGTACCTGTCCGCCTGTTACCGTGCACACAAAGCCAGTCTCCCACGCCATTCACGCTCAGTGTGCCACTGTTTACCAACACATGACCATCACCCCGCGGGTTCATACGTAATAATCCATTGTTTTTTGTGATTGCAACTGCTAAATAAGTCACCATGGGCCCAAGGAAAGCTAGTGCAAACCCTTTGGTAAAGAAAGTGAGGAACACAATCGAATTCAAGAAGGAAATCATTGAAAAATATGAGAGTGGAGTGCATGTTACAGAGCTTGCCAGGATGTATGGCAAACCCCATTCAATCATCACTTCGATCGTGGTGAAAGGAAAGGAAATAAAGTGTGCTGTTGTTGCAAAGATTAAGGACATTTGTGCAAAGTGGACTTAAGTGCAAACATTTATGGATGAACTTCACCCTAACAAAGCTCTTGCAGGCTGTATTGGCAACATGTACAATGACAGTGTTGTGTCCCACTTCAGACAAATCTTAAAGAAATGCCAGAAACAGAGCTCTCTGGACAGATATTTTGTGCAACAGGGTTCCAGTGACTCTCAAGTTGTTCCCAGTGCCAGTGTCTTTAAAAAACAAAAAAGGGGAAGTAACCCCAGTTTAAGGGAAACTTCATCCCTTAAAAGTCCTAAGGGAAAGGAGATTCTCCTTCCAAACAATAGGAAACCCCTTCCTCCTTCCCCTCCCCCCGTCTTCCATCCACCCAGAATTTCTTCATTTTAAAGGTAAGTGTAATGTTTATTATTTTTTAATCATGACTTGATTTCTAAATTGTTTTCAGTATTTTAAATTTTTTATTTATTTAAAAAAAAATTTTTTATTTTAATTTTTTTGGGGGCTGGAACAGAATAAATTTTATTTCCATTATTTTTTTAGGGGGAAAAGGGTTTTCGCCCATTTGGCAATTTTGATTTTTTTCGGCAGGCTCTTTGGAAGGGGTTTTAATCTTTAAAACTCGGGGGTCCCACTGTATACCCTTTTGGGATATATATATTTTTACGATATATTTAAATACGTATATATTATAGTATATATATATATTATAATATAATAAAAATGGGGGGAAAGTAGTAGGAAAATTTTGGGGGGTGCCGGGGGAAAAATTTGTAAAGGGGGGAGCCTTTAATTGAGCTTGTGTAAAAAAAAAATTTGGGTAATAAGTAATACATTTTTTTAACAAAAAAGGGAGGAAAAATAATTAAAAAAGGGGTTTTTGGAATGTACCCACTTAAGGGAAAGTATTTTGGGTTAGATTATGTATTGGTGGATAAAATTTTTAGGGGTAGGCTCCAGGATGTACTGTTTAAAAGAGGGGAAACTGATATATCAGATAATTTTAGTTTTGTTTACAGTTAGAGTAAAGGTAGATGGGAAAAAGGAAAGGGTGGCCCCCAAAAAAGAAAGAGGGAGGGGGAAATGTATAAACAAGGGGAGGAAAAGTTTGGGGGCGAGATATAACGACTATTGGCAAAAATTGGGCTATTTCAAAAAAGATAGGGGGGGGGTTAAAAGGGGGTTGGAATATTTTTAAAAAATTTCAGTATTAGAATGGGGGGGCAAATTTTTGGGGTTATGGGGAGGGTGGGGGCGGGAGGAAAGAGGGGGTGTTTGGGTGGAATGATGAAGTAAAGGGGTGTAAAAGAGAAAAAGGTAGCTTACAAGGGGTTTTTTTACAAAGCAAAAAGGGGTTATAAGAAGAGCGGGAGTATTTGGAGAAAAAAAAGAAAGGTGAAAAAGGGGTGGTGGGGAAAATTGCAAAAGGAGAGCAGATGAAAGAGTGGGAGAGGCACTGTAAAAGAAATTTTAATAAAAAATAAAAAAAAATTTTGGAGTGAGTTAAACAATTTTAAAAAAGCCAGGGAAAGTATGGATTTGTCCTTTTAAAAAAAGTAGGGGAGTTAGTAGATGGGAGAGGGAGGAAATTAGGTAGATGGCAGAATTTTTTTGGGGAAAATTTTTAAAAATTTTTTGGGGAAAAAGGGGGGGCGGTAATTTCTGCACTGGCCAGGGAGGTAAAACCCATCTTTTGGGGAGGGGAAAAAGGGAGAGAATGAAAGGTGGGGGAGGAAACTGAGGCATTACTAGAATAAAAAGGGGGTTTAAAAGCAGGGGAAAAGGATGGGTCATAAACAAAAAATTTTTAAAAGCAGGGGGATATAGTGTTGGAGGGGTTGGAAATTTTGGGTTTAAAAATGAAATAAAAGAGGGGAAGGTACCTGGGGGATTGGAAAGGAGCATTTTAAAACCCCTTTATTTAAAAAAAAGGGGGACAAAAGAGATTGAAAAAAAATTATAGGGGGAAAAAGTTTACGGGAGTATCCCGGAAAAATTTTAAAAGGTTTTAGATTTAAAATTTAAAAAAGAATTAGAGGGTAAAAACAGAATGTAGAATTGCAGTTGGCAAGGGGTTCGGGATGGGTGGGGGATGTGTAGATAAAGGGGTTTACATTAAAAGCAAATATGTAAAAAGTTTTTAAATAAAGGTGGGGAAAGGGGTTTTTATTGCATTTATGGATTTAAAAAAGGCTTTAGGGAAAAGAGTGGATAAGGAGCAATGTGGCAGATGTTGCAATTTTATGGAAAAAGGTGGAAATTTTTACAAAAAGCTGTAAAGAGCTTTTTTTAGGATAGTGAGGCCAGGTTGGGGAGGGTTGAAGAGGAAAAGGGGGAAAATTTACTTCCCGGAAAAAAGTGGTCTTAGACAGGGATTTTGTAATGTACCTTTGGTTTTTTTAATATATTTATTGGGGTTTGTAAAAAAAAAGGGGAAAATGCTAGGGTTTTTCGGGAGAGGGGTGGGTTTAAAAATTATGGGGAATAAAATTTAAAAAATGGAAATTGAAAACATTTACTTTTTTGAGATGAAAACGGGTGTTTATGGGAGTTTCTAAAAAAAAATTGCAAAGGTTAGTGGAGGGAGTTTGAGAAATGTTTGAAAAAGGTGAAAGTTAAAAAGTGAACTTTTGAAAAGGTAAGGTAAAGAGGGTTAAAAATGATTTAGATAAAAAAAAAAATTGGATAAAAAATTTTGGGGGGAGGATTATGGAAGAAGTGAATTTTTTTTCAGATACTTGGGATTTGCCCGTGCCCGGCGGATGGTTTTATGAAGGATGGGGGTTTAATCTTTAAAAATTGATGAGGGAAAAAAGTGGAGGGCGTTGAGGTAAAATGTGGAGTCAAAAAACGTTATCTATGGAGGCAAAAAAGGGAAAATTTTTAAAAAGTTAGTAGTACCAACACTCTTATATGGATGTGAAGCTTGGGTGGTAAATGCAGCACCGGGGAGAGGGTTTGGGAGGCAGGGGAGATGTCCTGTCAAAAGGGCAATGTGTGGTGAAAATTTTATGCGGGGAAAAATTTGGGGAGTGTGGAAATTAGGAAAGGGGGTGGAGTTAATTAAAAGCATTAGTCAGAGGGCAGAAGGGGGGGTTGTTGAGGTGTTTGGGGTCTTTAGAGAGAATGGATCAAAGTAAAGGGACTTTGGAAAAGCTTAAAAATTTCATGGGGGAAGGAAAGAGGGGTGGGGGTCGTCCTCGAAAGGGTTGGAGAGGGGGAAAAGGGGGTTTTTTGTGGGCGAGGGGCGGGGCTTCCAGCAAGCGTGAAATGAGCTGTTAGATGGGAGTGAATGGAAAATGAATGAATTTGGGGGACCTGCATCTTTTGGGAGTGTGAGCAGGGTAATATTTAGTAAAGGGAATTCAAAAAAAAACCCCCAGTTATTTTTCAATAGTCGGACTTGAGCCCGGAAAGGGGAAGAAACAATGCCTGCATTTTAAAAAGGAGGGGTTTGGGATTTTGGGCATTTGGAGGGTTTATGTTGTGTACTTTATACGTTTTTGGCTTCTAACTGTTGTATTCTGGGGCACCTCGCAAAAGAAATGATAATTTTTGGAGTGTGGTGAAAGTGTTGAATGAGATAAAGTATTTTTTTTTTTGGGGGATTTTCTTTTTTTTTTTTGGGTCACCCTGCCCTGGGTGGAGATAAACCCGACTTGTTGAAAATAATATATTTATATAAAATATATATATATATATATTTTATTATATATAAAATATATTATATAAATATATATACATTTACATATACTTTACATATATTTTACAAAATATATATTATTTAAAAATTTTATATATATATAAATTTTTTAAAATTTTTGGTAGTGGGTTTGGGGTGGGACAGCAACCACCCAGGGAGGTACTACCGTCCGGGCCAAGTGAGTGTAAAACGAACCCCTGTGATTTTTTTTACATATGGTAGGTTTTGCTGATGTCTTTTGTCTGTCTCATAAATATGAAGTTTCCGGCATGTTTTGGGGTATTTTCTATTTTAAAACTTAGGTCCCCTTACACATACATGTAACATTTATTTTACACACTCATCGGAGTTTTCTTTGATTTTATCTTAATAGTTCTTGGTTTTAAATTAAATTTTTCCTTTTATACCCCATGGGGAAGGGGAATAAAAAATTTTTCCCTTTCCGAAAAGCCATGCGTTTGTAAAAGCAACTAAAATCCCGG